AAACCGCAGCTGAGTTCGTTCATCTCTTAAAATGGCTTTTTATAAACTTGGTGATCCTCAAATAATTCAATATGATAACGAAAAAAATTTAGAAATTTTTGTTTGATTGATTTTTGTAAGGTGGAAACGTTGTTCTGATACATGGAAGGCCGAGACATTTACGAATCCAATGTCAAATCAAATAACTTAACCAAACGCTCACATGATATTTGCAAAAACATCTGAATAGTGGTGTGTTTGCTGCCGGTAAAAATTGGACTGCACTTTTGAATAAAATGGTTTATGAGTATAATGTGGCAATACATTCTGCAACCAATAAGTCTCCATTCAACCTATTTTTTGGTAGAAGTGGGTTCAATACTGTAATGTGTCCTATAGATAGTAGCATTGTTGATTTAGATGAGAATCATATTGATATACAAGTTAAAATTATTGATTAGGATGATAAAAAGGCTATTGATACAATTTCAGTTAATCAAAAATATTTAGCACTCATGGACAGAAAATGCGTGCATAATTCTATAAACGACATAAATATAGGAGACATTATTTTGATAAAAAAAGATTTTGATACAAGAAGCATAATTGTATTAAAATTAAAAAAATGGTACTGAAGAAATATTATTAATAAACCTGGTGATAAAAAAAATCTTTTGTTTTACTTTTTATTTTCTTCTTGTTTACGTTCTTAATCCTTGTATTGTTCATAAAATATATAATAATATTAATAATTTATTTGTTTATTGATTTAATTCTTATTGGGGAAACTTCAATTCATCAGATTTATTTAAGCGCCCACAAATCTTTCAGATTAATAATACATAATAGTCTTTAAATGTTAAATTCTCAGCCAATCTTTAGTACCTTTTTGCTATATTTGTTTATTATGCTTAATCACCTTCTCTTAGAAAACTTCCCTTTCCTCAATCTCAACACAGCGCATTATCGGTGCTAGCATGCTACGAAACTTGACCTCACTTAGTAGGAAGATGTATTAATTCCCGTAAGGACTTACAGAGGAGCCAACAACTGGTGGTACGCTATTAGACCAGGGGTTCGCTGGATCTTGTGATCGGACAGAGGGCGGTATGTGTCTAATGGTCGTGATGGACTCGTACCATCCCACGCGAAATGCTAGGCTAAATCACTAGCTTGCTACGCCGTTCCTAGGCAAGTCTTCAGATGTAATTTCTTACTAAAGGTCTCCGAATAGAACTTACAAATGCTTCCACAGCTACACGGCAATTGTCATACTAACCCAAAAGATGTTATGCCTCCTTGCAACTCTAGAACATTTACAATCCTTAGTCGACGCCTTCAGAAAGGCTTACGATACGACTTTACTGACAAATATTTTATGACAATTGTTGTGTCAGCGCCAATATTAATTAGAGAATTCGCATTTCTGGGATTTGAACCCATACCTATTGTTCATAAAAGTAATCTAATATAGATTTGATATGCACATCACTCTGTATATTTTGAATAGTTATAGCACCGTATAATTTTAGTTTTTTAATTTAAAATAAATATATTTTTATTAAATTTTTTAATTACAAATTTTAAATTTTTGTAGTAATTTTTTAAATTTAAATTTAAAGATGCATTTCAATACTTTTTACATCTAAACTTTAAAAATAAAAAATTTAAGATATTATAAGTTTTTTAAAACCTCTCTTTTCCAATAAGAATGTTTTTGTCTTTAATTAATTTTTTCTTTTAATTAATTGTAATTTAAATTAATCATATTTTAATTTATATGTCAAAATTATACTTATAAAAAAAAAGCAAATATAAGTCTTACACTAAAAAAAGTATATAGATGCTTTCAAATTAGTATTTTTATAGAGAATTTAATTTAAAGTAGGGCAAACAATATAATTCTAAGCACGGTCGCTCTCTGGGCGCGTGGAATTTAGTATAAATGTCAAAGCTAAAGTTATTAGTTCAAATAAAATCATATGATGTAGAAATATAATATCAATTTTTTTTAACAGAGAGGTAGTAAGATTGTACAACGTTTAAATATGACACACAAATATTATTGTTAAAGTTAATGAATTAAAATTTGAGAAGTGTTGATATCATTGTGATCACCGTGTAGAAGATGTAATGACTTAAGAAAACGTTTAAAAGATGCTGGAAAAAAGGGTGGCTTTTTTTTATAAGATAATAGAAATCAAAAACGTAAGTAGTTTTAAAAGCATTTGTAATAAAAGAAAGTATTATTTATGCTAATGAGTAGAAAGGGTACAATAATTAAAAGAATTATGGTTATATCAATAAAACGTTAATCATTTTGTAAATTTTATAGATAATAAAATAGCTGTGTATACAAAAACGATGGAAAGGGCCTAATTTAGTATTAAATTCAGTGTTTTCAAAGATATTGATGTTAAAGAGGGGTCTTCTTTACGAATTTGCCTACTTTCAAGAAATGTAAAACAAGGGTTAAAAAAATTTATTTACAGTTTAATTCAAAATATCGATATATACTTTAGAAAATTTTTCATCGCTTTACCGAAAATATACCCCTTCGCTTAAATGTATACTGAATAAACTTGGCGTCGATATGGTCACGAAAAACGCCATTTTCTTTCTTCATAGTATTTTTCTTATGGCCCCAAAACCCTTCTATATTATTTGTATGGGTGCCATCTTCTGACCTAAAACCTTCAGTATGATTAACTATTTGATGCCTAAAATTTAAATTTTGTGCGGCAGACGGATGTCCTTCGGTAAATAGAATGCTATCATTTTTAATATTAGGCATCATGGCCACGGTTAATGATCCTATAGTACGACCAGTAACTCCACAAAGAAAGAAATTTCTTCCACCTGTTCGGTCTATTCCACCTAATATCCAAATTGTATCCTTAGTATCATCGGCGCCTGCAGGATTTCTAATAATTCCTTTACGTGACAAAACGCTTTCATCAACCTCAACAATTATACCACATCCTCCCAATACAACAGACTTTTTTTCAAGGTAGTCTTTGTAACAAACTAAAAGTAAAGACTTATACTTTGCAATAGTAGTGTTAGATATTCCAAAAAATATCGACAACTGAAAGCAACACAATAGCCTTGCTACTTTTGTTAAGGGCAGAGTAGAATGAAACAAAGGAAGGCTTTTTTGGCATCCTTTCTTTGTGAATCTATAACCTCTACTTCCGTTGCTTGCAGAAATTGGCAATAACTTAGACAAATTGCCACATCTTAAATACAAAATGGAGGTAATCAAAATCTTATTGCTTATAAGAAAGTTTTTTAACACAACAAATTTTGAAAAATTTCATGTTCTATTGTAATATTCATAAGTGTTATTTTTAAAAAGTTTTTAATCTTTTGCCCTTCTAAAGGAAATAATTAATACTTTATTTAATTATTTGATGGCTATTTGGTTTTATATGTGCTTTTGTTATTAAATTAAAACAATTTTTTGTATTTATGAATACAGGTATATATGGTAGTATATTAAGTTGGGTAATATTGGGTTAGATACTGTTAGATTAGATGGTTGGGTTAAGTAGTTAGATTAAAATGATGATGGTTAGATAGTTGAATTATGTAGCTTGGTTAGGTATTATTGGGTTAGTAGTATTAGGTTGGTAGCATTTTTTGGATTAAAAACAACAACATCGGTTTTTTAAGTGCACTCGATTTATACAAAAATGTCGGGATGGTTGCTTAACTTTTTCGAATTTGAACACTAGTTTGTTGTGCCTGCTGGTTTCTTGTTGACGCTGGTTTCTTGTTGACTTATTATCCTTTTTTTGTTTTTTTTAGCCCCTATTTCTGGGTTGAAAAAAAAGGTAAGCAAATTCGTGGAGAAGACCCAAAATAACAATATAAATATATGCTTTAATTATTAAAACTTTTGTGTTTTTTTGTTTTGCGCCACTCATTAAATTGTAAAATGGCATGAGAGATACTAAGAAAAAACTACTTAAGCGATTTTGTTAGATAACTTTGAAGAAAAATTCTTTAGCGTTCTAATAATAAAAATGGTTGTATTTTTAAAACCCTTAAGTACACCATTTTATCATTTTGTGATAATTATCTCGTAAAGATTGAGGGAAGTTGTCAGCACATTTATGAAGAAACATACCAAGAATGCATTGAAATTTAGAAATTATATATGAAACCAAAAGATTTTGATTTTGCTAAATTGAAAAATTAATGAAAATTTGCTAAATCATTTATTATAAAATTTGTGAACCTTCTGGTTCTGCTTCATATCTTATATTTATGTAATAATAGGCCATCATAGTACTTTAGACGTGAGTGAAATTTTTTATTACGCAAGATATAAATGACAATAAACGACTGCAAATATTTATTTTTTTACAACTTGGCACATTTGAAGGGTAGCCAACCCTGCCTAAAGTATAATTCTAACAAATTATTTATAAAAAAGCCCTTTTGTTCTGACGCTTTGTCGTTTTATTTGTTATTTGTAGTGTTGGTCACATTTGTCCGAATCTATTTCTTTTTTTTTGATAAGTTAAAACTTTATTTATAGTTAAATTTTAATTTAACAGTTAATTTATTCATTAATAAAATTATTAAATTAAATGTAAACAAATATAAATTTAATAATTAATCAACCAAAAAATAAACGTAAACAAATGAAAAGTTAAACAAAAGGTGGTATAATACCACACAATTATTTTTTACTTGAAAATAAATGTCTAAGATTCATTTAATGGTAAACCTGACAGTAAAAAAGTTAATAATCTGTTATACATTCTTATTTATAAAAAAGCTGAGGAGTGTTTTAATAATTATAAAAAATAATATTATTAATATTGAATTTTTTAATGATATACAAAAATTTTCTACTTTATATTTAGGTACGAATTATAAATGTTGTATGACTTTTATAGCATCTAAATTGAGAATTTACAATTTATAACCTTGTTAGGATGAGAATCATTGTCACATTTTTTTAAAGTGTGCACTACTCACTAATTTAAGCGTTAAATACAGAATAGGGGAACACTGTTTTTATTTTGAAAAAACGCGTAATAAGTTATAAATTGATGATCTTGATTATTTGGAAAATTACGTTAAAAGATTGAAAAAAATCTTATAACTTTTTTTGATCTGTAAATTAAATACCCACCAATTTCACAATAAAGTGACGTTTTTTATTAAATTTTGCGGGCCCAGCTCGAACTCGAACTACAGTCGTGCAAAGTTCAAATCTTGGAAATCTTTTTTATCGCAAATAAGCTTTAAAGGCATTCTAGTTTACAAGGCTCACAAATAAATTAAGTTGTGTAATAAAATTTTAAATGTTTTTATATAAGTATTGCTGTATCTAAAGTCTAAAAACTTTTGTATAGCAATTTTGATTTAATTAAATTTTATATTTAGGTAAAATTTAATAAGATCTTTTAAAAGATGCAAAAAAGAAGATACATAATGACATTTTTAATCTATTTAAACAAATACCATTTATACTTTTTTTTTATTACGTTAGTTATATATACTATCTCAATTCTATCACCATGAACAATATGACACCATTTCCAGGTAAGATTTTTTAGTATAGTTACGAAATGAAAAAATAGATCAAATAAAAAATATAATTTTGTTTGTTATTATATATTGCAGAATTGGAATCCTTTAGAATTAATCTTACTTAACACACCTCTTCTTGTATAATAATTTTTTAAAATTTTTGTAGGAATATACATAGCAAATGACACAATGGGCATTGGCGTGTTACATTGCAAAAATTTTAAGGTTTGAATTTGTGTAAGAACACTTTTTATATGTCTTTTTAAGGCAGGAATTCGTAAAGTTTTAAACATAAATTTTTTAAAATTTGAAAGGAATAACACTATTCACGACTGTGGGCTGGGTACAAGCTAGACTCCCAACATTTAAAAATATTTTACATTTTAAATATGTAATTTATTTTGGTGATCGTTTATAAATATATAAAAATAATTTAATTGTTTATTGATTAATTCTTATTGGAGAAGCGCCAGTTCGTTAGATTATTTCTAAGCACACACAACTTTTTCAGATTACACACGAATCAGAGTTTAAATCGTTTATTAATTTTAATTTATCTAAAAATATATATTAATTATTTTATTTATAAAATTATATTTATATATTCTTAATTTACAATCTATTTATTGTGATAATCGTTTATTAATTTTAATTTATCTAAAAATATATATTTATTATCTTATTTATAAAATTATATTAATATTTTTAAAACTTAAATTAAATTGCAGATATAAATTTTTAAATTAATTTTAGGCTATATATAATTTATTTTTTCCGGTCCCTTAATAGTTTTATGAGACTTGAGTTGCTAGTATTATTTTTTACTTGTTTAAAATCTAGTAATGACGTATATAACAATTTATTAGATAGTGTCAAACAGAAGATTATGGATAAAGACTATTTTTTGGTTGATTCGGAAAAAGTACATTACTTAAAAACATATTATGTTTATGAAAAAAAGATTATTTTTAAAGAAAATGAAATAAATAGAAGAGGTGGAGGCGGCTTATTTATTATCAAAGGTGGTGATGCTGAATATAATACAGCAGATGAAGCAATTCAAGAAATTTGTGATAATTATCTTTTAAACATTTCTGATGAACCGCAGGGATTAATAGTTTTTCATAGGCTTTGTATTTTTACATCTAAAGAAGATGTCAAGTTGAATCTTAGAAATTTTTTTTATAATGAGGTTGAATCAAGCTTTGTTGTTAAACATTATGATGATGACAAACAAAGACAAATTAAAGAGCTTTGTTTATGTTTTTCTAGAGACAAAATGATAAATATTAACCTCTGCTTGTCATCTGAAGGCCAAAATATTAGCGGAACTATTAGATGCTTTGAAGAAAAAGACAAGATGAAAATTTTTTTTCCTTTAAAATTAAGAAATTTAATGTTTTTTTTAAAAATTGACGTTAGCAATTTAAGTACTATAAAGGAACGATATACAAATGAATTAGTAAAAATTCATAAAGATGTCGGTAAGAGTGGTAACAGTACAGATGTATGCGCTGCAATTACTAAAATCTTTACATTTTCTGATTTTCTGTTACATCCTAAATTATTAAATGATGTCAACAGTGCTAAGAAAAAAAAATCTAGACAAGTTTTGTTTAAAAATTTTGAAAAGAATTTTTTTAGAATTGTATATCTAAAAGAGGCTATATATTTTAACACCTTAAATATGCGATTTTTTTATTTTAATAAAAATCCTTCAGAGCCCGAGGAAAATTGTCAATACATAAGCATCTCTGAAAAAATATACAACGATTGCATTGAGATTTGGAATTTGTATACAAAGGCAAAACATATTGATATTGCTAAATACAAAATTATTTTTCATAAACTTAAAGATGAAATTCTGCTAATTTCTTTTTTATATAAAATTTGTGATAACCCGAATTCTGCTTCACATATTATATTAATGCATTTATTAGGCCATTATAATATTTTAGACGTTGAAGAAATCATTTCTCTTACAAAAGATACGAATAGCATTGATATATTGCCTATTAAAGCGAAACTTTCTAAGATTCATTTCATGATGACGCCTATGTGTGAGGAAGTTAATAATTTGCTATACATTCTTATTTATTATAAAGCTGAGAAGTATTTTAAAAATTATAAAAAGAAAAAACTTGTACATATTGAATTATTAAATAATATACAAGAGTTTTCTAATTTATATTTAGGTCATAATAACATGACTTTAAAAGGTTTTTACCGCAACTTAGTTAAAAATCGGCAGTCTATAATTTCGTCAGGTGAAGAAACGTTATTACAATTATTTCAAAGTATATCACTACTAACTAATTTAAACGTTAAATGCAGCATAGGAGGAAAGGATGTTTCTTTTGACAAAGAAAATGCAAGGATAATGTTTCAAGAGTTGGGAATTGATGATCCCGATAATTTGGAAAATTACGTTGAGGAATTAGGAAGTTTCTTTTAACTTTTCCAAAAATGTAATTTTTATTTACTAACTTAGCGATAATTTAGTGTTTGCTATTAAATTAATTATTCTATAAAGTGTTTTTTGTGTCTAAATTTTATAAAACTCGCTGACATAATAATTTAAATGCGTTCTGATGCAAAGTAACCTTAAATAAACCAATCCTTTGGACAACTTTCTAATTATAAAAACAAGTTTTTTCATTGTTTTTATTCGATTTTTCCTTTCCCTAATTTAAGAAAATATTTTTAAAGTTTCAGTAGCCAATCAGGTTCTTTGTCTTAGCACCAAGTAATAAAGCTTCATCTAATGGCTACAACAAGTTTTGTCTACAATTTTATTGTATCTGTAGCTTTTTTGTTTTTTCATACTTTCCGCATTTTTCTTACTCCTTTATTAAAAAATTTTATTTATATAAAATATACAAAAATTTGTTTCTTAAAATAATAAGAAAGTAAGGTTGCTTAATATGACTGAAATTACACTTGCTTCCTTGTATTTTTTATTAGTCACAAATACAAAAATGTCAAAGACGTAGTGTTTTCTTTAGTTCTTTGAATAATTTCGTATTTATTTTTTAAAATGATTACAATTGTATATGATTCTCAGCATTTTATTTTTTTGCAATCCAATACATTATCTTTTTAGTAATTAAAAAAAATTACAGTTTAAAAAAAAAAATTATTTTTATTTACTACAGCAGTAATATAAAAAGTTATAACAAAAAATATTTTTTTTTATACGTCAAAAAATAAATTTAAAAAAATTCTTTATATTATAATCTGCTAAATTTTTACACATCCCAAATTTATATCATTTTATTAAAACCATAAAAATAACTAACTATAATAAATTAATTTACAATTTATTTCTAACTGACTAATTCTCTTAGGTGTCTGTTTTTACTTTTTTCAATACTACACATCCATATTCTTTTTTTATATATTTTATATAACTCTGTTACAAGTTCTCTAAAATCTATTCTATCTTTACTATCAAAATAAAATATTATTTTATTAAGATCCCATTGATATTCACAATCTACAACAATCATTTTTAGTCCTTTTTCTTTTACTTTGTTCATACAAAAAATTAATGCCTGCTCTTCTAATTGTTTCTTATTTGGTAATATCCTTGTATCCTCATCCGTTGCAAGTCTATGTATACGTTTTGGACTTATCTCATTCAAAATATTTTCATGTCTTAAGAGTAACTTATCAAACTCTACTTTACTTGTAGTGCCTATAATAACTCCACAATCCTCGCCGCGATCGGCTTCTAAAATAACGTGCGAATTTTTCTGATAAGAAATTTTTGAGTCCATGTAAGCCAAGTCTAGTCTTTTACTGCCAAACTCTATAACGTAAAATAAATCTGATGGTTTACAAGGTGTGGTAACAGCAATATCACTTACTGATTTCGATCGCCTCTTAAACGGATTTGTTCCTACTATCCTCCAATCTTCATTTGGCTCAGTAAAGGATTCTGTAGTATCTGCCCATAGACTATTCAAAAAAGGAGAAGACCAATTATCATATTGCTTCATACGGGGGTAAAATCTACAAAATTATCAAAAATTTGTTTAAAAAACTTTTTTTTGTACATTTAAATGAAAACGAAATATAAATAATTTATATTTAAAGTTTTAATTTATCACTTATCGTATTCTTTGATTATTTACACATAATTAGATGAGCAATAATTATTTATTGTTTTTTTATTTACTTAAACAAACAAATATTTACTTAATTGTTATAAACTTATTTAACACAATGTAAATTGATTTACATTGTTTACAATGATTTGTGAATTTTGATAAAAATTTAATTTTTTAATCCTAATGTTCGTTTGTTTGTTAATTGGCCATATTGTTTCTTCAGAAAATCAACAACATCGTAGTCGAACAAGCCACGTTAGCTCTGAATACCTTCATAATATACATGAAGTAGAACATACGAGTCGCATTAACTCTTGCCTTGATTTAGGAATAACACCTAATATTGTAAAAAATTCTGTAGAGAAGTTGGAGCTTTTGTTTCATATAAAACAACATCCTGGACCCAATTATAATTTAGTTAAATCCAGTTCTATGAGTGCATTGGATTATCCAATAACATTCGATGATACATTTGATGTGAAAAAAGATAAAAGTTGTATTAGACGAGCTAGTACAGTAGCCAATATTCCTAAAACAATTTCATACTATGAAGGACTAAATACACTTGGAGGAATTGAGCCGCAAATATATCGGAAACGTTTCGGTAAGAATAAAAGCTTATCTTTGGGTAACATTAACGAAGGGCACACATTGGATTTACCTATTGAATCAACAATTATATATTCGGATGTAGAAGAAACAGATGAAGATTTATTTGATCTAAGAAAATTATCAGATTACGAAGTTAAAGAAGAAAGTTGTTCAGATTTGTCAAGAAAAAAAGGAAAACAAAAAATGATTTCAAATTCTTGCCAATCTTTGGTGTTACAATCAAGTTCATCTAGTGAAAGTAACTATCGTAAAAAAAGGCTTCAAGTGAAAAAAACGAAAGGAAAAAATAAGAAAGAACAAATTGACAGTTTCGTTAATACTAGTGAAATTGCATCAAGTTCCTCATTTATGAATATCGACAAACCTAAATTTTTAATTGGTAACGTTTCTCTACGAGAATCCTATTTTAATTCGTCTGAGTCTTCTGATATTAATTTTTTATTACATTTTACTGAACTATCTAAAACCAACTTGGATGATAATGTTGAAACAGCTTCTAACATGGAAATTGCAATTTTACCTGGAGAAGCTAGTTCTGTACCTGAACAAGAAAGTGATGAAGCAAAAACTTCTTCACATTTTTCAGATAATATGTTTTTTTACTATATTCCCGACTATCATGTATTTAGCGTAACAGATGAAAAGCTGCTTAAATATAAAAGAAGATTTGGTATTGCTTGTAAGCTTTTTGAGTTTGACAAAAAATTATTAACATCGTTTACAGCACTTGTGTACGCTTATAAACATTATGTTGATAAATTTATTCAAAAAAAAGAACATAATGTAAAAAAAAATCTGGTATCATTGTTTCACTCGAAATACAACAAAATACGCAGTATTTTAACTAATCTAGGAAGTCTTAAGGATATTGATGCAATTTTTGAGAAAGTTCATCAAGAAAAAAATAAGATTTATCTAAATGGAAAAATTGTAAAACTGTTAAAAGAATGTAGTAAAGAAAAAGACAACCAGAATATTGCTTTTTGTACGTGTATAGAAAATGTAAAGTATGATATAAACCTATTAGAATTGGCTTTTTATACGATTGCACAATATTGCTACCAACAATTGTAAATAAAAATTTTAAAAATTTAATTTTCAGAGCGTATATGTGTTATTTCTTTGTGCTGGAAATTCACAGTTACAAGATGCTAACATCTATTTACTGTAAGAAAGTTAAAATATATTTGTCAATAAGCATATTTATAAAAAAATTTAAAAATGTTAATAATGCAATTAAAACTTTATTTTACAATATTTTGTATTACAAAAAATATTTCTGAAAAAATATTGTACTTATTTATTTGTTAAAAATATTTAATGTATAACTTTGAGAAAACACAATTTATTAAAAGGTCTAAGTTTGTTATCTTAGACATTATATCTAAAAGATAAGAAAATGCATAAACTAATAACTTAAAATATAAGATATTACATAAAACATTTATTTAAGGAAAAATTGCACTAACTTTACTTTAAAAATCTAAGAAAAACAATGATTATTTATTTTCAAGCACTACTACATTATTTTTTCTCTGACAATAAAACTACTACTTTTTAAAATGCTAAATTTATTTTACTAAAAAATCAAATAATTAGGATTAAAACCTCTAAATATCACTAATTAATACTTTTATTTTTTTAAATTATCTTTATAAAAAATTACAGCACATACAATTTCGCCAACAAATTTTACTTTGCGATTCAAATAAAGATTGTAGCGTTACAGAACTGAAAATAACGGAAGTCAAAATTTATTTTCTTATTTTCTAAAATTTTGATAGGAAAAATAAATATTTATAATAAAATAATTGGCAGATGGTAAATTATATCACAAGTATCTAACTCTTTTTTCTACCAGAAATCATAAATTTAAACGATCCTTTAGAACATTCAATTCATTTTTTAATAGTTTCTTTATTTTTTTGCCCTTGTAAATGCGTAAAAATTTTAAACCTTACACGAAACAGAATAAAATTGCCAACAGCTTTAGAAAAAAAACAATTGATCCAGGTGTAGATTTAAACTTAAAAAAAGACGATGACAATTTAGAAAATATTGATGATTATTGGAATATGGCAGAATATATAATTGACGATAGCAATATAACACAGGTTGATAATAATATACCAAAGGAAGCACAAGATCTTATAAAAAAGGATAAACAAAAAAATAAAAAGTTTGTAGTTGAAAGTTTAGAATCAAGTGTAATTAACGAGGTAATGGATATTTCTACTGATGGTAGTAAAACAACAGGTGAGTACAATCAACCTAATAAAAACCCGGTTCCATCTGATAACGATTCAGAAGATACGCTTTTTGATATTAATAACATCAGAGAGAGCCTTTCTCACAACGCTGTAAACAAAATGTCAAATGTCTCAAACACTTCAGGGTTTGAAAACAATCATCAAGAAGAAGGTACAAATGAAATTTTAGAAACAAACACAAGCGGGGTTATGCAAAAAAATAAACAAGATAAAAAAATAAAAAAGAATAAAAAGGAAAAAGTAAACATTAATAAGGAGAATAAATCAGACGAAGAAAAGATAAAAAGTCTTGAAAAAAAACTTAAATACGAAAAGAAAAAAATTGAAGATAAAAAAAAGGACGAGAAGAAAACACTAAAAGAAAAAAGTATTGATAAATTGAAAAAGAATAGAAAAAGTTCTGATGTAGAAATAGAAAATTATAAAGGAGAACTTTTAATGGGCAAAAATAATAAAATATACGGCATGACTAAAATTTCATCCTTTTTCCAAGGCAAAAGTAAATTAGAGCCGCTTATTACAAAAAAGTGTCTTGAATCCGGAATATTGTTTTTAAATCCTGGTGCTTCAATTCTACAAGAAACGGCAGATAATCCATTTACTATATTTTTATTAAAAGGAACCATAGAAATTACATTAAATAATGAATTTTATAAGCTTGATAGAGATAGTTGTATGTTTATTGATGAAGGTAGTGCTTATAATATTATTGATAAGAGTAGAAGTGGTAGTTCTATATTTGTTACATTTAAAGCGAAATAAATAATAATTCATTTTAGTTTTTAAAATAGTTTAATAAATTTTTACTTTTTATGTTATTCAGCCATATATTAATAGTATTGTTTGGCAAATAAATTCTTTAACAGTTTTATTCATTGTGGTATTATTTACTAACAAATTTATTAAAAATTTACAATTTTAAATAAAAAATATTTTTTTTGAGGGCATGAAAGAAGAAGATGAAATTAAAAAACAAGAATTACATTTAGAAACTTTAAGTAACAAATATGAAGAAGGAATACAAAAATTAAAAGAATCTTTAGATAAACTGAGAGAAAGTGTAGATAGACTTTCTTCTTTTACTGATGATATGAAGAATGACTCTATGTGAAAATAAATAGCATATTTTATTTATACAGTTATATTTCTATACAAGCATAATTTTAATAATTCAAATGAAATATTTTCAATGTAATTTTATTGTTTAGTACAAGTTTGTAAATTAATAAAATAGAATGCTTAATTAAAATAAACATATTTGTGATTTGTAAATTTATTTCTATATGCATTTTGTAGATTATAATAAATCTTAATTTAGAAGATTGAAATTAATTTATTAATTCTTTATGTTTATTATTATGCTTTAAATTATTTTATTAATTTACTTATGTTAAAATTATTAATCATGTACAATCTTTTAATGCTAAGTCTATTACAACATTAATTAATAGATTTGACATAAATAACAAATATCATTTCTACAACTTGTGTTAATTTTAACAGTAAAAATTAAAAATTTCAAGAGAAAATTTAAATTTGATCTATTTATGCTAGTTATGCTTTATAAAATGCATTTGTAAAACCATAATTAATAAAATTATAAGAAAAACTTACTATTCTTAGAAGTGTATAACATATTGTTGTAAGTAGGATGAGCCAATAGAAAGGTTTGATTTGCTTAGGTTTGACATTCAGATAGTTGTGCTTGATATGAAACAATCAAGTACAAATGTCTATATAAAGGAATTTGCAATAAACAGACATGTTTAATGAAAGTAATAAAAACACATATGTTAATTAATTTATAATTGTTTACTAACAATTTATTGTTTATAAAAAATTTCTTTGTTTGTCCATGACTATTATTACAAATTACATCTGTTCAGAGATAGATCTCCCTATGTGTAAATACATTAGTGACAGTGTCTGTAGATGCTCTAGTAGATACGAAATGATAGGAAATCTTAAAATTTATTCACCTACTTTTTTGGGTCTAACTCTTTCAAATATAGGCATGATATATTGGATGGTAGAACATGTAAAGAAGATGTGTTCTACAATTGGTAGATCAGAGATGAAGTTCTTCTACTATTTATACGCTCTATCTAATTTTCTTATGTTAGTCTTAGTATCTTTAAAAGATCAAATTGAAAAAATCCACTTTATTCTTACGACTATTCAATCAGTTGTGTCTACCATGTGTGTCTTTTCTTTATTGGTAGGCTCTTTTACACAAGATATGTTTGTGGGTAAGTGGGGTATACAAAGTACATCTATTTTATATTTATCAACAGCGATATATGGATTTTTTAGTACAATAGTCGTGTTCTTTGGTCTATTTTGCAAGATTTCACTTCCTATTTTTTTAATTTGTTTTATATTGAATTTTATATTTGGATATTCGTATTATGTCATACAATTTAGAAAGCTTAATAAAATAAGAGGAGAAATATGGGCATATGGTACAATATTAATATCATTAATATTCTTTCTACTATCATGTGCATGTATGTTTATTAATTCTACATTTATAGCAGTATTAAGTGATAAATATATTGATAACCTATTCTTTCATTGTCTATTTCTCTTCTGTGCAGTGGTTATGATTCATAAGTTCTGGTTATCAGTGTGTGATTATGAGGTAGAATGTTTAGTATTAGATGTTTAAAATGTAAGACACAATTTTTTAATAAATTAGAATTAAATAGATTTTTTTAAAAATGTTTATAATACTTTTAAAATTTTTTAATAATTAATTAACTTATATTGATTTTATAAAAATTTTATATTAGATTGTAACAATTTTTTGTATTAGATAATAAACATATCAATGTAAAGAAATGTTTTTTTGTAATAATGTTAAGTTAAGTAACGTAGAAAAAAAAATTATTTTATTTTTGTTATTAAAATACTGACTTTTCGTAATTAAATACTTTTTTTACTAGATCTATCCCTTCCTTCGAGCAGCGGTATTTATAATTTTAACAACCAAATGTCGCGAACTTAATGGCCATTAGAATGGCTACGACACAGACTTTTTGGAATTAGGTTATATATTTTAAAAAATTAAACCCTTAATTATGGGAATTTTTAACAAGCAGTACTAATTCTAAAAATAAAATAGATTCTTTTATTTTAAGAAACATTTATTAAACATATAATACATTTTGTACTTTATAAAACAACTCTAATTGTTTTATAATTCTCCCTTTTAAATTTTTTAATGACTTATATGATTTAGCATTTTTTAAGCCCTTCATGAAGAAAAAAATACATCCAGTAGCAGATTATTGTAGAATTGAAAAAAAGGAGAAAACAGAGAAAATAAAAAAAAGTAAAAGAAAATACAAAAAAGTAAAAAATAATATTGTGATACCAAGAGTTATTTCTAATTATAAAAATCCATCAAATAAGATAGTATCTTTAGAGGCTCGACAGCCACTACATGATATTGAAATTATAAATTATAATAAATTTATAGAATTTAATAAATTTTTAGATAAAATTGAGGAACATTGTAAAAACGAGAACAAATCATTAAAATAGTATTTATACTTATTGATTGTTATTGATAAATTTATAAATAATGTTAATATATAATAATAAATTGTTTTTTAGCACATTTTACAACTAATGAAAATTTTTATAATTTTACTATTGCATAAATTAAAATGTCAAACAAAGAAATAGAAAAAATATTTCTGCACTATATAAACATAGGTCATAACACATTAATTTTGTAAAATAAGAATACAATATTTTTTTATTATGAATTTTTATGTGTAAATTTATTAAATGCTTCTTCATAATATTCAAATAGCTTCTTAGGCACTTCTTTTTTTACTATAAAATAAGGTATTTCTTGCATTGATTTATCTGTGTATTGTACAACTGCTGTTTTAATAATATTATTTTCTATTTTAAGATCACAAACTTTAAATATTATAGACTCTAAATTAAGATCGTAATACTCCTGTAAACTATCTAAAATTGAAGTAACTCTTTCTTGAATGGTCTTACCAGGTGCTATAAAATCACTTTTATTTTCTGTCAACTTAGTTGTTCTAGTTCTCTTTCTTTTTAATGGAATTTTTGATTCAAAATCCTCAATCAATTCATCAGCATTAATATTTTCCCTAGGTTCCCATGTATTATCAGAATCAGAATATCCTTCCCATTTGATTAAATACCAAGGAATACCTTTTATTATTTTTCTGTCTAGTATTTTTTCTACAGCAAATGTATCCTCATTTACTTTATTCACTTTTTGTTTTTTTGGCATTGAAAGTCGGGGGTAAAAAATATTTAAGGTCCTAAATAAAAATTTTATTTAAATGTCAAATAAATCCAATTTAGTTAGTTCATATAAAGCGTTATTTATAAACTTTTACACTTTTTGTGACATATTCTTATTATTGTTTAAATTTTTAAAAAATATTCCTTAAATTGTATTTGTCTAAAAATAATGAAATAAAAATTGTAAATCAACATAAAAAAATTATTAATCAAATATACGTGTATTTAACTTGTTTATAAATTTTTATTAATCAATATGTTCTTCTTTACTGTTTAAACTATTCTTATTAATTATTCTAGTACTTAAAAATAATGATCCAATAAAAATAATTAGTAATCCTATAAAAAAATATTTAAATTGAATCCAGTCGTAGTGTTCAAATTCTTGAAAATATATTCCTGCCGTTATAACACTAAGTATTGTCCATGTAATATGAAATACTGGTACTACTAATAAAGCATCATATCTTTTTAATGCCTGATTCAACCAGTAAATCTGTCCGAAAGTGCATGTACAAAGTCCTATAATAAACACATACGTAATAAAATATTTAAACTGATTTTCACCGGATATTGTTTTATCAATTATTTCTGCCAGTGATTTAATGCTGAGTGTAGTGAATGAAGCTATAAACGAACTGAGAAATATGTACATTAAAACCATTAAATATTTTATAGTAAAACAATCATCATCAAACCAAATAGTATCACTCATAAAAATTACTGAATGATCTTCTCTAAAGCTACTATTAGTTTCTACGTAGCGTATAAAACAATATAAAAAAATAATTAAAAAAAAAATAGTAAAAAAGTATAAAATAATTGAAGGCTTCTTGTACAACTTAAGTAATTCACATAGTGAATATGACTTATGAGACACCTTAGTATTAAATATTATTAGTGATGTACCGGTAAAAACAAAGATTATAGCTAGTAAATCTTTATATGTAAATATCTCACCGTTAATAAGCGGAGCTAGTATCGAATTTGATACAAGGCCTGTAGCACTTAGTGCTGCAAGTAATGATTGATCACCAAAGATATAAGATAAATATCCTGATATTTTACCTATTAGATATATTAACATACCTATATTAAATGTACTTAAACTAACACTGCGAAATGTAAAGTAAGACTTAACATATGATAATTTTTGTATATTAACACCAGTATTAATTAAAATATTCCCTAATACACTAAGAAAGGCTCCTATAAGCCAAATAGAGTTTGAAGAGTTGTAACTACAAACATAATGATTATTTCTAGAGATGCAAGACTGTTTTATTTCACATCCTGTTAAATGGCTTGGTCTATTCGGATTACATCTTTTATTTTCGGGAATAGGTAAACAACAATAAGTTGATTCTATTAATCGCGATATCATGCATTCATTCTCTATTTTACACTCTGCTGAACATGCTATAGGTCCGTAAAATGAATACGATGCGCATTGTTGTGGCATTGTACAGTGTTCACCTGGTGGAAGAAGCTTAGAACAAATATTATTTACACAGTAAGATGTATGTATATCTGGTCGGGACTTATTAAAACAGTCTTTATCATTTGTACAAGGTGTGGGTAAGGATGTTACAAAATTAATTAATAAAAATGTATACATTTTTGTTTATTGTTTATTTACAATTTGTTTATAAAATTATTTAGATAAATTTTTTATGATTTATGGAAGAGGAAAGCAATGTAAAGCGCACATAAAATTAATTCGTATGTGTAACGGAAGCGAAAACATAAAAGAAAAAAAACTTAATTTATAAAAAAGTAAAACATGTCAATAATTAAAATAGTTACAAAACATATTTACTTAAATGTGACAATAAATTATTCTATTATCCTTCTGTTAAAAAAAGAATAATACACTGTTTTTGTAATTGCTCTAAATAAAAACTAAAAAAAATCTTTATTCATGTATAATATAATCTGAAAAAATTGTTATGTGCTTATTATAAATCTGATAAACTGACTTTTCTCCAATAAGAATTAATAAATAATTTTTTTTATTTTAATTACTATTTTTTTATCAATGCATTATTTAACAGTAATTTTTTTTATTATAAAAAAAGCAAATTTCTTAAACTGAAAATATTCTACTTTTATTTTTGTCGTCATGTACAATTCTTTGATCTGTAAAATAAGAATTCTTCTCACATCTTTTATAAATAATTGAATAATGTTCTATAACATTATTTAATTTTTTATATCCTTACATGGAAGAATATGAAACAATAGAACATGATATGATTCACATCAAAGATTATTTTAAGAATTACAAATTTGGAATACAAGAAAGATTATCAAAATTATACTTTCTTAATAATATGAATACTAATATGATTAATGATAGTAATGATTTATTAAAACAAAGTAAAGAAAAATTAGTAGAAATAAAAGATAAAGGAAAGGAATGTGATAAATTTATTTTTGATATTTCGACTAAATTTTTTAACATTGAAAATGAAACAGAGCATGAAAAAAATAATGTAAAACATTTACAGGAAAAAATAAATAAAAAAAAATTAGAATTAGATGAATTGACAAAACAAGGAGATCTTTACAATGAATATGAAACTTTAAATATGAAATATAAAAATGTAAGTCAAGCTATTGAAAACACTTTAAATAAAATAAGTGATCTAAAAAAAGAATTAGAAAAAAAGATTAATTATAATTATGATGAATTGGAGGTATATAGGGAGAAGTTAATGAGTAGAACAAGACGGTTATCTGTTATCCAATATGAAAAATATATTGAAGATTTATATGAATTTTATAAAAAAATGGCACAGAAAATATTAAAACTTTTTAATGTAGAAATTTACACTAAAAATGAAAATTATAAAATAAATATTCTAATTGTAAGATCTGATAAGAATGAACTTAAAATGGAGATAGTAAATGGTAGGTTAGAAAATATTAAGGGATTAGGAAATGAACACAAAGAAGAATATTATAAAAAAATTAATGATCCGAGATTTGTAATTTTTAATTTTTTGTTTAATAAATAGTTTAATTTTTAAATATTGTGTTAAGGTTATTAGAATAGTATAAATTTGATCCTTAACTTTAATTATTATAAAATTTAATATTTAATCTTAATTATAAATAAGATGTAATATTATTATTGTAATATAATTATGATTTACAACACTTTTTATTATAAATTGCAACATCTTTATTCCCTAAAGGTAATGGATTGTTAAAAAAAGACTTGGATTTCTTATTTACATTATTTATCAACTAAATGTTCTTTATATAGCTTTAGTTTTACTCTGAAACCTGTTGTGTTTTAGAGTTTAGTTTCATATCCTTATGTTTTACTTTAAGGCATATTATTGGGTCATTTACAGTCACTGGTGACATAAATTCTTTAAAATGCTTGTTTATTGTAAATTCTTTAAGAATGCTTCTTTATTATAAATTCTTTTAAAATGCTTTTATAATTTTTTTGAGTTATAAATAAATTTTAAACACTTTGTTTGTATTTTACCATTTTTTTCCAACAAACCTTTATTTATAAAATTTGTTTACCCATAATTGAATGCATAACTTTTTTATAAAAAATTCAGAAAATGCTATTTTACAAGACATTTCAGAAAAATTCAACGGAACTTCTTTAATAACTAGAAATTGTATAAAATCTATTAACTCTTTTCTTTATTTTTTAAATACAAAAGAAATGAATAAGGATACCTTAAACAGCATATTAATCCTTTTATTGAAATCTTTTCAAAGTAAGGAATTATACTTAAAACAAGTTGTTTATAGTACACTTGTAGAGGTGTCAAAATATACAGATCAGGGATTTATAGGAATAAATATCATTGTTAAAGATTATTCTCAATCAAAGATTAAACATAAAATTATAAAAAGTTTATTTTGCATAATTCCAGAGGAAATGATTAATGATTTTACAAAAATGCTTAAAGAAGCTTTTTTAAGTAATGATCAGAATTTGATTAATTCTGCTGTAATTGTTTGTTTATTTTTATTGGATAAAAATTGTTCTAAAGTTAAAGATCTTTTTAAGACTCTAAATATTACAGATGACATTTATGGATATCATTCATTAAATCTTTTGAATCTTAGTAATAAAATTTTAGGAAATAATGATAAAGGATCTTTAAGAAATATATTCAGTCATAAAAATGAGGCAGGAATTTTAAGTGTAAGATTAGCGACAAAATTTAAAAAGTTTGAACTTTTTAAAAATTTCTTAAATTTAAGAATTAGTGATACGTATGTCTTTTTTGAGGCGTGTAAACAAATGTCAATGATTAAAGAGGAATACTCCATTTCTTATATTTCAATGATTTGTCAAGGATTAAGAAGTTTTCTTAAAAACGGAAATTTTTATGAAAAATTTGCTAGTATAAAAATTTTATCAAAGTTATCTACGTCTTTTCCTAGAAAAATTGAAATTTTAAATAAAGAAATAGAAGAGCTATTACAAGATACTAGCAAAAGCCTGTCAATGTTAGCAATTAGTACTTTGTTAAAAACTGGCACTGAAGAGACTATTGACAGATTAGTAAAATATTTACCAGAATTTATGGCAGAAATGGATGATAATTACAAAATTGTTGGATTAAATGCTTTATACATTCTTACAACTAAGAATAGTAGGAAATTAGATATATTTTTAGATTTCACCAGAAAATGCTTTTTAGAAAAAGGAAATTTAAATTTTAAACTTTTTATTGTAAATTTACTAAAAAAGCTTACTAAGAATATTGAATTATTAGATACTGTTTTAGATATTTATGTATGTTATTTAGAAGATAGTGAATATCACGAAGTGAGTTCAGAAATATTAGGAATTATGAGTCATGAAATTTATAAATCGAAAAATAGTAAAAAATATTTATTACACGTTTATAACCGATTAATTTTAGAAGATGAAAAAATAAAAAGTGCAGCTTTACAATGCATTTATAATTTATCAGATAAAATGGAAATTAGTGAAAGTATTTTTGAAGATAATGAAGATGAAATTATTAATACATTTTATATTAACAATCTAAAAAATAATATTCATTCAGCGGAAGATTTTGAAATGTCTTCACTTGGTGATTTACAACCTAAAGTTGAAACATATTTAAAATCTTTTACATTTGTAGATAATGATGAAAAGAAAGTTGTACATCAAGTTAAGGAATGCAGAGAACTTTATCTTTCTAAAGAAAATGATGAAATTAATGTTAAATTAGTTAAAAAAATAACAGAAAATAAGATTGTATTAGAATATACGATTGAAAATAAATATGAAGATATTGAAATAAAAAATGGTGTATTAGGAGTTAAAATAAAAAATAAAATTACACCATTGCCTTTTAATCACCTAAAGCCATCTCAATCTATTACATTAGAATTAGATATCGATTCTGAACCAGATTTGACAGTATATGGAACTCTTGATTATGAAATATGCATGGTAGATGATTATTCTGAAGCAGAAAGTGAATCTATGTCTTTGTTACCTTATCAAATTACTATTTTTGATTTAATGAAGAATATTGAAAAAGAAAAAGGACAGTACAGTGGATCAATTAAGATTACTTTAAAGACTGATTTGGCAGGAGGAAGTAAAAAGATTTTAGATTTGATTAATTTAAAAATATATTCGCAGAATAATTTTAATAATTGTAATCATCTTCAATTTTGTGGAGAATATAATAATTTAGGATGTTTTATTGATTGTACTATTGAATTTGATAAAGTTTGTAGGTGTAATATTGAGATATGGAATGACAGTGATGAGTTATTAGAAAGACTTTTAAAATATTTTGAATAAAAAATTTACTTTTAAATAATTTTATAAATTACTTATAAATAGCTTTAAATGTGTGATTACATTTAAAGCTATTGATTAATTTTTTTTTTAAAAGGCAAATTTAGAAATAGTTTAATTTTTTGTAAAAGAAAAATTTAGTAATAGTTACTTGTTTAAACCTTGTTAAGGTTAATTAAATATTATACAAATGTGTAATACAGAAACAAATGTGTAATATAGAAACAAATGTGTAATACAGAAACAAATGTGTAATATAGAAACAAATGTCTAATATAGAAACAAATGTGTAATATAGAAATGTTAGATTTATTAAAAAACATAAAATCTAATGATAATACAGCAAGGAAATAAAAACTGTTCTCTTTAAACATAAATATCCTTTTTAGTAATTTTATAAACATTTTGTTTCAAACTATTTATTTTTTTCTAAAAAAATAACCCATAAATGTTTGACGAAATTGTAAAAAAAAGAATAACATCAATCCAGTTTGGGTTATTTTCTCCAGAAGAAATTAGAAAGGCTAGTGTTGTACAGGTAATACACCCAGAGACCATGGAGAATGGGTTCCCCAAACCTGGTGGTTTAATAGATTTAAAAATGGGTACCACTGAACGTGCATTTTTATGTTCATCATGCGAGAAAGATAATTTTTCTTGTCCTGGACACTTTGGACATATTGAACTTACAAAGCCTATGTTTCATGTTGGATACATGTCTAAGATCAAAAAAATTTTAGAATGTGTTTGTTATTATTGTTCTAAAATAAAAATTGATAAAAAACACCCAAAAAAGGATTTAAATTTTGTGTGGAATTCCTGTAAAACGAAAAGTGTTTGTGAGGGAGAATTAACCGAGGCAGGTTTTTCAGGATGTGGAAATAAACAGCCTGTTATAAAAAAAGAAGGAATGGGACTTGTTGCCTTTATGAAAGGTGAAGAAGACAGTGATGGAAAAGTTATTTTAAATGGTGAAAGGGTGCATAATATTTTAAAGAAAATTTCTGATGAAGATTCAACATATTTAGGATTTGATACAAAATATAGTAAACCGGATTGGCTTGTTATAACCGTACTTCTTGTTCCTCCACCATCAGTTAGACCATCTATTGTTATGGAAGGGATGCTTAGAGCAGAAGATGATTTGACACATAAATTGGCTGATATAGTTAAAGCTAACACGTATTTAAAAAAATATGAATTAGAAGGAGCACCAGGTCATGTGATAAGAGATTATGAACAGTTATTACAATTTCATATTGCTACTATGATTGATAATGATTTAAGTGGACAACCACAAGCTTTACAAAAAAGTGGAAGACCAATAAAATCCATTAGTGCTAGATTAAAAGGTAAAGAAGGTCGTGTTAGAGGAAATTTAATGGGAAAAAGAGTAGATTTTAGTGCTAGATCTGTAATTACACCAGATGCAAATATTTCTTTAGAAGAAGTTGGTGTGCCATTAGAAATTGCAAAAATACACACTTTTCCAGAGACTATTACACCTTACAATATTGAAAGATTAACTCGGTTGGTATCCAATGGACCAAATGAATATCCTGGTGCGAATTACGTAATACGATCAGATGGTCAGCGAATAGATCTAAATTTTAACAGGGGGGATATAAAATTAGAAGAAGGGTACATTGTTGAGAGACACATGCAAAATGGGGATGTAGTACTTTTTAATAGACAACCTTCATTACATAAAATGTCAATGATGGGACATTTCGTTCGAGTTATGGAAGGTAAAACTTTTAGATTAAATTTAAGTTGTACGTCACCGTATAATGCGGATTTCGATGGAGACGAAATGAATCTTCATATGCCACAGAGTTACAATACTAAAGCAGAATTAGAAGAATTGTGTTTGGTTAGTAAACAAGTTCTAAGTCCTCAATCAAACAGACCTGTAATGGGTATTGTACAGGATTCTTTAACCAGTCTAAGGCTTTTTACACTTAGAGATACTTTTTTTGATAAAAGAGAAACAATGCAATTACTTTATTCCATAAACTTAAGCAAATATGAAAATTTTAATAATGAAGATATGCATAAAACTTCTATTATGGATTTATTAAATTATCCAACAATTTCTTATCCTAAGAAATTATGGACAGGAAAGCAAATCTTTAGTTATATTTTACCGAATATTGTATATTCAGCTGTGTCTAATGAACACGATGAAAATGATCTTGAAAATTTAAAAGATACAGTAGTAATTATTCGTAATGGAGAACTTTTAAGTGGTATTATAGACAAAAAGTCAGTTGGTACTACACAAGGAGGATTAATTCATATTATTGCTAATGATTTTAGTCACAAAAGAATTACTTCTTTTTTTGATGATACACAAAAAATTATGAATAAATTTATAACATTTATTAATGCATTTAGTATTGGAATAGGAGATGCAATAGCTAATAAGGAAACTATGGTACAAGTACAAAGTTCTATAGAAAATGCTAAATATCAAGTAGAAAAACTTATTGAAAGAGCACAGAGAAATAAATTAGAAAGACTTCCTGGTATGTCTATGAAAGAAAGTTTTGAAAGTCAAGTAAATTACATTTTAAATAAACCCAGAGATATTTCTGGAACTTCTGCTTCTAAATCATTAAATTTCTGTAATAATATGAGGACTATGGTACTTGCAGGATCTAAAGGATCTTTTATTAATATTTCACAAGTCACTGCATGTCTAGGTCAGCAAAATGTAGAAGGTAAAAGAATACCATTTGGATTTAATTACAGATCATTGCCACACTTTTCTAAAGGAGATTATTCTGGTAAAAGTAGAGGATTTGTAGAAAATAGTTATGTTAAAGGATTAGCACCAGAAGAATTTTATTTTCATGCAATGGGTGGTAGAGAAGGGTTAATTGACACAGCTATAAAAACTGCAGAAACAGGTTATATTCAAAGAAGACTTGTTAAAGCTATGGAAGATGCAACTGTTGGTCTTGATAGATCAGTAAGAGGAGCAAATGGTTTTATTTATCAATATGAATATGGAGAAGATGGTTTTGATGCTACTTATCTTGAAATGCAAAAAATTAAACTTACGAATTTTAAAGATCTTCATTTTGTTGACATGTTTGCGGATGAAAATTATGCCATAAAAAAAGAAAATGTAACAGAACAAATTTATAAACTTCTTGTAACAGATTTAGAATTACAGAAAGTTTTATATGACGAATATGATTGGCTTTATAAAAATGCTTTAAAATATGAAAATCAAAATATAGCAAGTCCTTGTAATTTTAAAAGAATAATAGATACTGCCATTTTTAAATTTAATTGTGAAAAAGGGGATATATCTCCGTATTACATTTTAAGTTCATTACAAAAACTTTCAGAAAGTTTATTTAACAGAAATTTATTACTAAAATTGTTAGTAAAAATTAACTTGTCTGTAAAAAGGATACTTAATGAATATAAATTATCATTAGAAGCCTTTAAATGGATTATTGATGAAATAAAACGTAAAGTTAATAAATCTATCATTGCACCAAGTGAAATGGTAGGAACTCTTGCAGCACAATCAGTAGGGGAACCTGCTACTCAAATGACTCTTAATACATTCCATTTGGCTGGTGTATCTGCAAATATTACAATGGGTGTTCCAAGACTTAAAGAAATTATTAATGTAGCTAAGAATATAAAGACACCTTGCATGAAGATTTATTTACAAGAGCCATATAATAAAACATTGGAAATGGCAAAGAAAATACAAGGAGATATTGAATATTCAGACATAAAAAGTATATGCGAATTTAGTGAAATTTTTTATGATCCTGTGGTAGAAGATACACTTATAGAAGAAGATAAGGATTTTGTAAAAAGTTATTTTGATTTTCCAGATGAAAATCTAGATTTTTTACAAATGCCTAAATATATTATTAGAATAATCGTAGATCGTTCTAAATTAGTAAGTAGAGGATTAAAAATGGATGATTTGATTGCGTGTGTACATAAAGCTTTTCCTAAAAAATTTCATATTATTTCATCCGATGAAAATGCTAGAAAGCTTATTATTAGATTTAGATGTATTACACCAGAAGATAACAATATTGACATTTATAATGTGTATTATAATAAAGTAATTAATTTAAAAATTACTGGATACAATAAAATAAAAAAAGTTTATATAACTGAAGATAAAGAACAAAAAAATTGGTTTTTACAAACCGATGGTGTGTGTCTTCGAGAAATAATGTCACATCCTGATATTTGTGGTCATTTAGTAACATCTAATGATATAAATGAAATAGTAGAAGTTTTAGGAATAGAAGCAGCACGTGAGACAATCTTACAAGAATTAACATTAGTTATCGATGGAAATGGAAGTTATGTTAATCACAGACACATAAGTTTATTGGCAGATGTTATGACTATGAAAGGATATTTAACAGGAATTACAAGACATGGTGTTAATAAAGTGGGATTTGGAGCATTAAAAAGAGCTTCATTTGAAGAAACAGTAGATATTTTACTTGATGCTGCTTATGCAGCAGAAAATAATGTTACTAAAGGAATTACTGAAAATATAATGATGGGACAACTAGCCCCCCTGGGCACAGGTATAGGTGATATTTTACTTGATGTTAGTAAATTAGAATTTGCCATTCCTTTGTCTAAACCTGATTACAATTATGAAGATGTTGATACACCATTTATTTATAGTCCTGTATCTGAAAGTCAAAGTATTAGTAGTGGAAATTGGAGTCCAGCATATTTAGCGGAGGAAAGTAAATATTCGCCTAAATTATCTTTATTTTCTGTAGGTAGTCCATCTTACGGTTCTGCATCTCCATCTTACAGTCCGACATCGCCATCTTACAGTCCAACGTCCCCTTCTTACAGTCCAACATCCCCTTCTTACAGTCCAACGTCCCCTTCTTACAGTCCAACATCTCCATCTTACAGTCCAACCTCGCCTTCTTACAGTCCGACATCCCCTTCTTACAGTCCAACATCGCCGTCTTATAGTCCAACATCGCCGTCTTATAGTCCAACATCGCCGTCTTATAGTCCAACATCGCCGTCTTATAGTCCAACATCGCCATCTTACAGTCCAACTTCTCCGTCTTACAGTCCAACTTCTCCGTCTTACAGTCCAACTTCTCCGTCTTACAGTCCAACTTCTCCGTCTTACAGTCCAACATCGCCGTCTTACAGTCCAACGTCTCCGTCTTACAGTCCAACAGGATATAAAAAAGATAAGGATAAAAAAAATGAAAGAAAACGTCGACATGAAAATTAAATGTTTTTAACTTTTTTTGACAAAAAATTTTATTGTCGCTCTTAGCCTTTTTACGTACCGGGTTGGTATTTTCTGCAAGAATTGGTCTAATATTAAAAAATTTTTTTTTACTAAAATTGAAAGCTTTTTTTTTGTTCAAATTTGTTTTTGAAGTAATAATAAGCAATCAAAGAAATATTTAAAAATTTAAAAAATGAAACGTCCCACTAAAATAACTATGAATTATTTTCATTTACAATATCTTAGCAAATATGAAAAAAAGAATTTTTTATATAAATATGCTACATATATATTTATTATAAGGTTTATTTTTCGAATAAATAAAAGTTGTATCACTTTATAGAAATTTACATTCTTTTTATTGAATAGGTGTTGTGAATGTGCATATTTAGAATATCTTGTTCTTTCCATTACAAGGCACAAGTACATATATAAGTTAGTGGAATTTTAAATGTACTATAATGCTTTATGGCAGTATAAAATTTAATGTAGAATTATCATTTTTTAATTCAATAAAACACTTTATATCAAATTAATATACTTTTTTGATTTATTTATCAAATCGATATAACTTTTTATCTAATAAAAAAAATTATATTAAATTGATTTGACTTTTTGTTCAATAAAACAATTTTTTCAATAGATGTGATTCTTTTGTTCAAAACAATTTTTATATCAATATTAATATAACCTTAAGTTTAATATAAATATTACTTTCTAGTTCAATAAAATAATTTTATATCAAACTAATATCGCTTTTAAATTTATTAAAAAATTTTGTATAAAATCGATATAATTTTTTATTAAATATAACAACTTTATATCAAATCGATATAACTTTTAAATCCAATAAAAAAATTTTTATATTAAACTAATATTATTTTTTATTTTAAAAAGCAGTTTTATATCAAATCGATATAACTTTTTTATATAATAAAACAATTTTTAAAGTTAATAAACCAATTTTTATTTTAAACATTTTTAAGTTAATAAATCAATTTTTATTTTAAAAATTTTATAGGTTAATAAACCTATTTAATATCAAATTAAAAAATTTCCCAATTCAATAAACAATTTTTATACTAAAGTAAATTTTTAATTCAAAATAATATCTATATAAATATCAATATAACTTTTAATTAAAAAATGTATCAAAAATACTTTCTATATCCAATTCAAACATAGATCCTGAATAAGGTATCTTATACTTGTTCAAAACATCTCCGTTACAGACACCAATACTTCCAAAAATTTTATCGTTTATTTTTAAAACAGCACTCTGATTTTTCAAATATTTTTTTTCATCATCCATCCTCTCAAACTTATAGTCTTTGATACCACATTTTTCTAAAATCACAGTCATAGGTCCTTGTACATCCTCTAAATGACTTTTATTACCAACGTATAAACAAGATAAATATCTTCTATTTCTAGCACCCACGTCACTTTCACTATCTAAAAACACCACATCCCCTACTTCAAAGATCTTTATAGGTATTTTACAGTGTAAATTACTAGATACAGCCTTCATTAGCCCTGGATAAAGAGAACTTCGCACCGCTTCACATTCCAGTGATTTATAATTAGATACAACCGCACTATTATCTCCGAATATATTATCACTTTTAGATACTAGCACCATAGTATAAACTTCTGTAAATCCCAACATACACATTTCCAATCTTAATTTATCACTAAACTTATTTATTCTATTTTCACTGCCAATAGTATTAATATCGGGCATAACCATATTAATGTTATTAAATCCGTAACATATAGCAATATCTTCTATAAGATCTGCTTTATGAAGTACATCCTGTCTTACAGATGGTACAGTAACATTTAGGTGTTTATCGTCAATAATATTAGTTTTATACATCATTTTAATTAATAAATCTGATAAATCTATCACAGATATATTAATATTTAGCTCTTTATAAACTTCATCTATCGACAATAAATACGATTTATCTTTAATTTCAAGTATTTCTTGCTTATCACTAATTATATTGACCTGACACATGTTATCGGTCCTAAATGCACTTAATATCATTTTTAAACATGTATTAACTTTATAAGTATTTGTACCTGTAACTTCTACCAGAATATTTGTAGTATTAACAGATATTTTAGTTCTATTACTATTTATAACCGGAGGTACACTTAATATATGACCTTTAGCATCCATAAATACTATATAGTTATCATTATCAACGTATTGTAAATATTTCCCGATATTTTTATCGTCTTTAAAATGCATTTCCAAGTCGTTTATTTCTTTGGTGCAATTTAACGGTGCGAATTTTAATTCCGTTTTTTTTATTGATTTGTAAGTCACTGGCCATGAAATTGTATCTAGATCGTGTGTCCCCATAGACACTAATGATCTATTTCTACCAAGATTGCCACATAACTTTTCCTGGTAAGATATAAAACTGTCATAAGAATATTTATCAAATTTATAATTTTTTATTATAGCAGCCGCCACACAAGACCGATTACCAAAATGTTGTTTAAAAATGGTGTATTCACTGGATTGTAAATTAATATCCTCGAATACCTTTTCAAATAAATAAGACTGTAGTGCGTAATTTAAACCCTCGGCACATAATAAATCATAACGATTAGCAGGTATTTCTATTTTATAAGTAATATCATCACTTTCTTCGATACATTCATCAATTTCTAATCCGTAATTAAATAAAATATCAGAAAATGTTTCCGAGTCATACGATTTACCAAGAAGTTTTTCGATTTCTCGTTTTTTAACTGAAATTGTCGGCATTTTAGGGATAAAAAATATTTAAAAGTAAAATATTCTACAGTTAACTAGAAAGAGTTTAATGGTATACATACACAGTTAATAAAGAAATTAAAAGTTTAATGTTTTATTTAAATACAGTAATTATTATTTTTTTGCTTCTCTTAAGCTTGTACGTAATGAAATTTTTAAAATTTTATTTCATAAAGTTTACATTCATAACCCTTAAATGCTTGTTAAAACATTTGATGATATTATTTTTACATTTGATAATAAATATCTCTCTAAGTCTAAATTGTTAGAATCCATTTGTAATCACACAATATTACTTGAACCAGTTCCTTTACTTATAAATCATGACGGATTAGATATTATTTATAAATTTATGAAAATAGATACATGCACTTTATCCACCGAATACAGTGCTTATGATCTTAAATTTAAACAATCTGATTTAGATTTTTTTAGATCTTACGATTGTAATAAGTTAATAGATTTATCTAATGCCTGTTCTTATTTAGAATATTATTATTGTTTAGAAGTGTGTTGTAAATTAATAGCAGGGAAATTAAGAAATAAGAATGTACAAATATTAAAGAAACAGTTTGGAGATGAGGAAGTTTTAAATAATAAGGATTTTGAATGGTTATCTTCTGATGAACAATAAATAAATGAATATTGTAAGTGTTAAAGAGTGTTTAAAAATGCTAAATAATTATAGCGTAGAGCCAATAGCGGCTAATAAATTATTTACAATTTTAATGTATAACTAACAACATTATTTTATAAATAAACTTTTATTTATTCATAAGATTCAATAGCACTCTTTTCAATAAGTTCCACCTGTGGCTTATTCCTAATAACAGGCATAATAATTCCTTTATGCTGTTTAACTCCACTCTCCTTGGCTTCTTTTCCATTCTTAAAAATAGTTAATTTACTGAGATATTCCTTTACTCTCTGTGAGTTAAGATCTAGTGTTTCTTTATTCATATTCCTTCTTCTAGTATCAACTCTTATTCCTATTTTTCTAGCATAATTTACTTCAATACCTGCCTCTTTTAATTCTTCGGGAGTAAACCCTTTACCTAATCTCTGCTTTTTATTGTATCTAATTGTAGGACACCTTACAATAGGACACAGTTTTTTTAGTGGTGCAGGATATAAAGCTTTGGCTTTCATTTTCCTATTCTTAGCCCTTCTTAATGCTCTACTAGGCTGATTATGCCACTCTTTTACCCTTTTCATAGCATTCCTGTGATTATTTGGTAGAATGTGATTGTTTTTCATGTGGGGCTAAAAAAAATATTTTTTTAAACCCCAGATGGCAGAAATACAAAAATCAGTAATAACCCAAGGAAAAAGAAAAACAGCTTTGGCTACCTGTAAGTGTGTTGAGAGTGATGAGATGACAATATTGGTCGATAAAGTACCTTATAAAATACTTAGTAACAGATTAATGCTATCAAAGATTAAAGAAATCATTTGTATTGTTGATGAATCTAATCTTAAAAATCTTAGTTTTACTATCACCACAAAAATTAAAGAAGGAGTGACTACTAACAAAAAGAATAATGGGGATGTAGCGCTAGCATATGCAGTAAGAATGGCTTTTTCTAAAGCTATAGTGGCTTACTATGGTACTTATTTTGATGAATGGAAAAAGCAAGAAATAAAAAAAATGCTGATGGCTTATGACAGATATTGTCTTGTAGGAGATATTAGGAAGAAAGAGCCAAAGAAATTTGGAGGACCGGGTGCACGTGCAAGATATCAGAAATCTTATCGTTAGAATAAAAATTCTTAAATAATACATTTTTTTTTGTATTATAATACGTTTGTTATTTCTGTAATAATTCATTTATTTTTTTGTGTAATAATAAATTTGCTTCTTCTGTAACTGTAGGACAAACTGCCCACTAGCAGTATTTTAATGATAGCCTTGTCATATCTGTTTTTTAAATAAACCCATGTTTTATCTCAATAATTAATTTTTATTATTACTCGCTGTTTTACAGTTTTCTTGTTAACACTAAACTTTATACATTTATTTATGCAGTAATTATTTTCCCTTATGGATTATAAAACACACAACAGTGTAGGAATTTTGGGAGATGAAGATACAATAAATGGATTTATGATTTCTGGAATACAACTAGATACTAAAAATCCTAATCTTATTCAGGTTACTTATAATACACCAGAAGAAGACTTAAAAAAAATGTTTACTAAATTAATCCTTCGAAAAGATTTAGCTCTCATTTTGGTGTGTGATTTTGTATATGAAAAAATTTTAGAAGAAATAAAGAAATATGATGGACTTATACCTTCAATAATAGAAATACCAAGTAAAATAAAATGTGAACATTAAAATATTTTATAAAAATTATTTTATTTATGCGCATAACAATAAACGTAGAAATGTAAAAGTTGTCATAAAATGTAAATTTGTAATAAATTTATTTTTTAAAAAACAATTTTTCAAAAAAATTATATATCAAAAGCTAAGTGTTCTTTACATTTCTGTATAAGCCAGTCAAATGGTTCTACAAGTGTATTAATATCTAATCCACTTACATAATATAACCTTACATTATCTTTTAAATCTACCATAGGTTTATTAACATTACATAAATCTTTTTTATTTCCTAAAATAAGCACGGGAATGTCTGGTACCTCATTAATAACTTTATTTAAGTACATGTCATTCCCTGTAGTCAAATCGTATACAAATACTAATCCATCACATTTCTCAAAATAATTATTCCAAAATTCTCTAAAAACTGTCTGTCCTCCAATGTCATACACTAAAAGAGTAGTGTCTCTGTACACACAAGAAAATAACGAATATCCAAATGTAGGTTGAATATTACTAGTATTCCTTCTAAATATATTTTCTAGAATGGTTGTCTTTCCTGAATTGTCTAATCCAATACACACTAATTTTAATTGATTGCTTTCTTTTTTAAGTTTTCTTATTAATTTTAGAAATGTCATAAAATACAGAGCGATATTTTTTTTAAAGTAAGAAAGAAAACGTGTGTTTAATTTTAATTATATTTAAGCTCCGATGGCGTAATGGCTAACGCGTCTGCCTTCTAAGCAGAAGATTGCGGGTTCGAGTCCCGCTCGGAGTGAATATTTTATTTTAAAAAAAAAATATTTTTATGCCATGCATAAAAAGTTGTACCATTTACAAGAAAAATTAGAAGAACAAGATCTACCCGAATACTTATCATTTCTTCCACCAGAACTACGTAATTGTGATACAAAACTTGATAAATTATACACTGACCACATTCTACCAATAATAAGTAATGATACTTCTCTCCTTCCATTATTACATTCATATACAAATATACCTCTTGAATGTGATCTAGACGAAATTGAATTATTACTAGAAAATTATAATTCAGTTACATCTCCATTTTTTGAAACTGGTACCAAACAAAATTACAGTAGTGGATTTAAAACAGCATCAGAAAAACAACTTACAGGATTAAAACAAAATGATGCGAAAAAGTCTAGTGGTGAAATAGATCCTGAATCAAATATAGAAAATAATATTTTAGAAAGAATTAAAAGTGAAATCTTAGAAAATGTTAATAATATTACATGGGATGATGTAGTTGGATTAGATAATGTTAAAAAAATAATTAATGAAATAGTATTATGGCCAATGCAGCGACCAGATTTATTTACTGGGCTCAGAGGACCACCTAAGGGATTAATGTTATTTGGTCCGCCAGGTACTGGTAAAACTATGATTGGAAAATGTATAGCAAGTCAATGTAATGCTACTTTTTTTAGTATAAGTGCAAGTTCATTAACAAGTAAGTGGGTTGGTGAAGGTGAAAAAATGGTTAGAGCACTGTTTTACTTAGGGCGGAAAATGCAGCCTAGTGTCATTTTTATTGACGAAATTGATAGTTTGTTAAGTCAAAGATCAGAAAATGAAAATGAAGGAAGTAGAAGAATCAAAACAGAATTTTTAGTACAATTTGATGGAACTGCAACATCTAATGATGATAAAATACTTGTTATAGGAGCGACAAACAGACCGCATGAAATTGACGAGGCAGCTGTGCGTCGCCTTGTAAAACGAGTTTATGTATCACTGCCAGATGAAAATGCAAGAATAAAAATGGTAAAAAATTTAGTGACAAACTATAAAAATAATTTGTCTGCTAACGACCTTACAAAAATCAGTCAACTTACAGAAGGATATTCTGGTTCAGATATATTTAATTTATGTAGAGAGGCATCACTTGAACCTTTTAGAGAAATTGAAGATATAAAAAAATTTAAAACTGAAAATGCTAGAGAAATTAATGTTGAAGATTTTGTAAAGGCTGTTTCACAGATCAAAAAAAGCGTAAGTAGTCGTGATCTGCATTTATATGAAGAATGGAATGGAACTTATGGATCGAAATAAAAATTATTGAGTGTTTAATTCTTTTTATTTTCCCCTTATTCTTTTATGGATTATATTTCTAACGAGTGGATACTAGAAAATGCCCATTTTTTTTCGCAAAAAAAGGTTGTTATTATCGCAGGTGCAGGAATATCTGTTTCCAGTGGTATTCCCGACTTTAGATCAAAAACTGGACTTTTTCAGGATATTAAAAATAAATACAAAATAAAAGGCGAAGAATTATTCAGTTATAAATTTGGAATTGAATCACGTACTAGGAAAATCTACCTTGAATACATTTGTAATCTAAAAAGATTAATTAATAACAGTAATCCATCGTATACACATAAATTTTTTAAATGGTATGCACAGGTAACATCTTTAAGAGTTTATACACAAAATATTGATAGTTTAGAAGAGAAAGGTGGATTAACAAAAGATAATTTGGTTTATCTACATGGAAATTTAAAATATCTAAGATGTTTATATTGTGGTTCACAGTCTGAATTTAATAATCCTACTGATATTTTAAATTCTCCTAAATGCACAATTTGTGCTAAATCTCAAAATGAAAGATTAAAAAATATTCCTAAATATTTACATACAAATATTATTCATTATCATCAGGATCATCCAGATTCTGATTTAATATCTAAATGTATTAAAAAAGATAGTAATTTAGATTTACTTATAGTAGTAGGTACTAGTCTTAATGTTTTTGGAGTAAAAAATATGGTAAAGTATTTTAGTAAATTTTGCAAGAATCGAATATTTGTTAGTTTAAGTAATTGCTCTTCTTCTATGAAGAAATATTTTACACATTTCTACAAAGGAACTTCAGATGACTTTTTTAGACATGTTAAAAAATCAGTTGAAAATTATGATTTAGATATTTCACTACAAGATATTTCTATTCACGAAGAAAATATAGAAAAGAAAGTACTTGATACAGAAAGTAGAAAACCAACAAAGAAAAATATTTTGAAGAAAATGAAACGACTTTCGTTAACAAAAGAAGATATTGTCAACAATTTTATTGTTTTAAACAATTCAAAGTTTATTTGAAACAATCCCATACATCTGATTCTGATGGAAAAGATTTAATTCTAGAAAAAGATAGCTCTATGCTATTCGTTTGTTTTTTAATAATAAACTTAGTTTTATATTTCTTTATCTTATTTTTTAATTTAATAATTTTCATATCTTTTGACTTTAATTGTTCTTTAACTTGTAATACTTTCTCAGATAAATATTTTTCGTTATCAACAAAACATTTATATTTAAATTTATGTTCTTCTTTGTTTTTCGCAATAAAGTCTAAAAATTGATTTAATTTATTGGCCATGTCGTTTATTTGCAAATATATATTATTTACATCTAAATTACACACAACCTTTTTATATCTCATTTCTATTAATGTTTGTGATGCATGGATTACTTTGCTTACATTAATGTTATTTATTATATGAGAACAACTACTCATAAAATCCAATGCTTTCTTGCGAAATGCGTATATTTCATCAATATAAGCTTTTATATTATCTTTAAGATTTTTATTCTGTTTATTTAAATGTTCTATGTTTTCTTTGTAAATTCTCATTTCAGAAATATTCTTATCTTTAACAATTTCATATTCTTTATTTCTTTCTTCAAATTCTGCTTGTAGTTTAATAATTTTTGCCACACTCTCTTTCTTTTCATGTTGTAAATCAATGCATGTTTCTCTCAGTTTTTTTAATTCTAAATTTATTTTACAATTTTCTTTTCTAAGGTATCTATTTTTTAATTTATGTTTTTGATTCTCGCAAAACAGTTTATCAAGATACAAAAGTATTTTACATCTTGTTGTCGATGTATTATTTATTTTTTTAGATTTACTAGAATGAGGATTTTTTTGATTTTTTCTAAAAGTTGTACGACAGAGATTTTCCTCTTTTTGTTTAATATTGATAATTTCATATTTAGGTAAGGTTGTCTGCTTATTTTGTGGTTTTAAAATTTTTACATGCCCTAAAGCTTTTTCATAATTGTTTGTTAAATTAATCAAAGAATCATTTTTTTGTTTAATTTTTTCATCATTTAAATTATAATCTAGTAAATTACTAGGTTCTGTATTTTTATTATTTGTTATGCAAGATGTTGTTTTATTATCGATAAAATGATTAGAAACACTTTTCTGCTCATGTGATACTTGTAAATATGTTTTATTTTTATATTCTGCACTTTGAGATTTAGAAAGTTTACTGTTTTTATTGTTTTCTTTTTCACAGCTCTTTATTTCATCATTCTCGTGATTTTTCAAACTGTAATTTACATCTGCATCAACTTTTTTAGTAGATGTTGTGTGAATGCAAGAATTTTTTTCGCTACTAAAATCCGATTTATTATTTTTTGAAGAGCATAAGTCTTCTGTTAAACCTCCTAAAGAATCATCATTTAAAGCCTTTGATATTTGTAAAGAGATGTCATCTTTTGTATTAATATTTATTAAATCATTACTTCTATACAAAATTATAGACTTAGGTTTTATTGGAGTTGAGTAATGAAATTTTGGAACTTTATTATGCATAATTTAGAAAAATAACTTTTTTTATATTTTTTTGCATAAAAATCTTAGTTTGTTTGTATTAAAAAGCTAAAAGTATCAGATTTATAAAAAAAATTAAATTTGTAAATATATATAAATAATTTTTTCATGAAAGTACGGAACTAAAATTTAAATTACAAAATTTTTTAATATAAATTATAAACGTAATGAGCGTATTTTTACCTAAAAATTTAATAATTAAATAACAGGCTGTTTAACATCCAATATAACTCTAATATTCATAGCTAACAATTCACTGCATAAATATTTGAATACATAAGGCATCTCTACTGTATTAAAAATCTTACCACCGCAAATACACTTATCGTTATTAGCGAATAGAATACTCTTACAAGTACAACAGAAAGTAAAAACAGAGTGGTCACTACATTTAAGTAATCTATCATTTAGAAGATAAGGGGTACCGTGTGCAATCATAGCATCCCTTTCCATCTCTCCAAATCTTACACCTCCTAAATTCTTTCTTCCTCCCACGGGTTGTCTAGTGGTAGCTACAACGGCACCAGATGCCCTAACTTGATATTTGTCATTTACCATGTGCCTTAATCTTTGATAAAAAACGACACCAATAAAAATATCTGTCTTAAATTCTGTGCCTGTTATACCGCTGTACATTGGCTCATTTCCATAGTAATTAAACCCATGCTGGATTAATTGATCACCGATTGATGGTTCATTGCGCTGTACGTCATTATTATTTAAAAAAGTATTTTTTTCAAATGGCGTAGCATCTTGTATTTCCCCCAAACAACAGCCTGATTTTCCAGCCATGCTTTCTATTAACATTCCTATAGTCATTCTAGATGGGAATGCGTGAGGATTGATTATAATATCTGGTACAATTCCCGATTCAGTAAAAGGCATATCAATAGATGGCCAGTGCATTGAACACACACCTTTCTGACCATGTCTACTACAAAATTTATCTCCTATATTTGGATTTCGAATAATTCTAAACTTAATATTTGCACATAAATTTTCATTTTCAAAAATGTCTACACTTTCAATAATATATCCATCACTACTTTTACACAACACAGATGTTTCTTTACCTCCAAAATCCATGTATTTATATAAAATATCACCAGTATTAATTTTACAACCAACATCAGGAAGATAAGAAAAACAACAGTCTTTTGGTAATTCTATTTTATCTACTTTGTAAACATATCCAGTAAAAAGACCTCTTTCCATGCTTCCTTTATTGATAACCATAGCATCTTCCATGTCATATGCTGTATATGACAAAACAGCCACAATGCAATTTAACCCTAAAGGATAATCTTGTACAAGACTATATTTTTTATTTTGTACTATCGGGTGCTGAGTGTAATTAAGCATATAAATCTTAGAATCATTTCTAGTTTTGATATTGTGAGCAGGATGTCCCATACTCTGCTTGGCCATTTGGCACTGATACATATTTCTTGGTGATTGATTGTATTCAGAAAAAGGAGTGAGACTAGCCACTATACTAAAAATATTCTGATTGTCTACTTCTTGATATTCAAAACATTTACTAATGTTAGGACTGTCTTTATAAACTGTCATATCATTAAGATTTATGTCTAAAAAGACCTGTTCCATTATTCCAACCATCTCAATTTTACCACTTTCCTTGTGAAGAACAGGTCTAATCAAACGAGATACAGTATTGTAAATTAAAACGGTTTCATATAATTTAAGTCCAGAATAATGAATAATTTCTAAGCTTAAATTATTATCCCTTCTATATTTTCTAAGTTTATTTGTAAGATCACATGGATTGAAAGTGTATCCAATCAGTAATCCATTATAAAAAACAGATATTCCGTTAATAAATTGTCTATGAGAAGGAATTATCCCAAATGAATAAAGTAAATTATAATCAAAATTATTGGTAAAATTGACAAGAGAAGCAGCGGAAGTTAAATGTGTTAGTAATCCACAGGGGGTACCATCTGGTGTGTGTACAGGACAAAAAAATCCCCAACTTTCAGATCTTAATTTTCGTACGCCTGTTGTTCTAACTTCTTGAAAAAATGATCCTCTATTTAAACTTCTAAAATGACTAATGTATCTGTAAAAGTTAATTCTTTCTGCCATGATACTAAATCCTGCACTTTGTAATATATCACTAGAATTTTGTATATTAATATTACCGGTAGATAAAAAAGATTCAAATGCTCTGCCAACACTCACACAATCAAGATATTTAAAAGCGTGCATACAATTTTCTAAAGAAGGCAAAATTGGTTCTTTATTCTTTTCGTAATCTTTACGCTTCCCATTTTTACGAAGAAAAGTGCGCATAATTTGCGCTTTAAAAGATCTTTTTAAATCTTCTAACTTATCTTTAAAAATATTTGCAAACAACTGTGTTTCCGTCAACATTTCATGTGATGCAGGAGAGTCTGAGTCTTCTGGAATAATTTCTCCCTTTACCAAACTGAAAAGTTTTTTTATAGAATAAATTAGAAAATTAAACTTATCTTGATTTTTGGTTAAATGTGGACACACATATGTATCTAAAATTTCTATACAAGCTTCTTCATTAGTAGAAGCATTCATTGACTGTTTAAATCTAGCACCAATGTATTCAATACATTCTGCTCTAGAAAATACTTCTTCTTTGGTAGCTTTTTTTAGTGCAACTGTAATGTATATGTCATTGTTAAGCATTTTATAAATTTCTTGGTCTGTTGTATTCACTAAAGCTTTTAAAATAATAATAATTGGAATATGAAACTCATTTCTTCTTCTAAAAAATCTGTAAAATACATCACCATCTATGCTGTAATGTAAATAACCTACATGTCCCAATTCATCATCCCCTACACTTCTAATATAAATATAATTGTCAGTGTAGTTTTTATTTTTTTGTGGTCTACACAGTGCAAAAGGATAATTCCTTTTCTGCATAATGTGAAATCTGATAAGTTTATCAATTCCATTAATTATAAAATATCCTCCAATGTCATTCTCATCTTCGTCTATAGAATTAGGATTTGGTTCATCCAACAAATGACAGTATCCAGATTTAACCATTATAGGAAATCCACCACATGGTCGAAATTCCGAGCTTATTAATTTATCATCATAAAATAAACTGAATTTTATAAATATTTTTCCTTTGTAAGTCGTGTTTGTCAACCTTGCTTCCCTCGGTAGTAATCTTCTATCCAAACTAATATTATTTCTTTCTGTAATAAAAGGCTGATGAACAGTAAAATCAGCTATTTCCATCCTAAAAGAGCCTATTGTTAACGGTTTGACTTTTTTTATAATATTTTTAAATACTTTATTGTAAAATAGAGCATTATATGACTCAATATGCGGTTTCGCTATGTCTTCAATTTTCATAATGGGTTTATGCTAAATAAAATAATTTATATTTTTTTTGCCCACAAAAATGAAATTATTACTTGTCGAATTTGAAGATCAAAATGGTAATTCTTTGGCAGAAAAAATGCAAGTACCCGAAATAATTACTGTAGACCAGTTAAAGTCGTTAATAAACACCACAATGGCTTTATATATTAACGGAAATCAAATTTCTGATACTTTGAAATCAACGGTTGAATGTCTTAATTTAAATGACGAACAGATTATAAAAATAAAAACTAATGAAGAGGAAGCAGCTACACAAGCAGCAACGTTTTGTTCTTCATCCTATAGTGGCCATGAGGGTCCTGTTTTATGTCTTAAATTTAACGAAGTTTTAGTTACCGGTGGAAGTGACTGTACTGTAAGATTTTGGGATGTGACTACAAAAACACAGAAAAAAATACTAAAAAAACATAATCACTGGGTTCAATGTCTTGATATTTCTGATTGTAAAAAATATGTTATATCTGGGGCAATAAGTGGCGATATTAAACTTTTTACTTCTGATGGCGAATTTGTACGAAGTTTTAATGGGCACAAAGACGGTGTTACTGCAATTAAATTTTATAAAAAGTTTATTGTGTCGGCTTCAAGAGACAGAAGTGTAAAAATTTTTGATTTTGATGGTAAATGCATATTTTCTTACGGGCATGTCAAACCAATAACGTGTCTCGCTACAAATGGGGAAGTTATTGTATCGGGAGGACGAGACGGGAAAATAAAAATTTATAAAGGAAATGCTGATCTTTCTGAAGTTAACGGTCACGGTTCTAGTATTAATTGTATTGATATGAATGGGTTATATATGGTATCAGCAGACGATGATGGATGTATTGTTGTGTGGAAAGATTTTATAGTACAAAGACGTGTTAAACATGAAAGAGAAGTTATTTCTGTTTCGCTTGGGTCTAATAATATTTATTTTGCATCGGGGTCTTTTGACAAAACAGTACGTTTATGGTCGGTTGAGACAGGAAAATTAATTGCTAAATATTTTCATGTAGATTTTGTTTATAAAGTTAAACTTTTTAACGATTTGATTATTTCTAGTTCAAAAGATAGAACGGTTAAAATGTTTAGAATTTCGAAAAAGAAGGTTATTAGAGATTTTGTATGTGATGACGAAGTTTACTGTTTTGATTATTATAATAATCTATTGGTCTGTGGTACAAAAGGTAATAAGGTGTACTTTTTTAAATAAATGATAGATTTTAAGTTTTTTTTTTATTTCGAAGAAAAGACTTAATACTAACTGAGGAACGAAAACATCTATGGTTTAAAAGCCCGTTGGATTCGGAAGAAAAGGACTGTTGTTATTTGAAAAGTGCTTATCAAAAAAACAACGGTTTATTTAAAAATGTAAATATATATTTTTAAACATGTCAAATATTTTTAGCCAAGCAACACATTGATATTTAACATGTGCTTGCCGTTCCAACAAAAATAATATAAAAGCAATCTAATCCTTAAATAAATAATTAATATGTCATTTTTATTTATTTATGTCATTTTATAATTACCAGAAAACCACTCCCATATTTTTCTCAATATTCCTTTTTTAATTTCCCCTCTCATATATTTTTCATATTTTCTTACATTTTTTTCATTGTAATTATGTAATTTTATGTATTTGGCAGATAATTCTGAAGGCTTGAAATGTTCACTTTGTATTTTTACAATTTTAAAAGGTTTATATTTTATTTTGCATTTTTTAAGATCTAGTACATCTTTAACTTGTCTATTAAATGGATATAATCTCTCTTCTATGTCTAATTTCTTATTATTAACTGTTCCTTCATATTGATTTTTTAAACCTTTAATCTGCTTTTGGTGCCAGATATAATCAATAAAAGAATGGTGATGCCAGAATATTGGATCATTTGGACTAAACATTTGTCCCATATCGCCACTGAGATTTTCATGAACTAAAGCATGTGGTACAAGTTCTAAAATATCTCTAAATTCATTGTATGTACCTTTGCTATTAATTAATCTTTCTATATCTCTTACGCCATAAAATGGATCTATATTTTTATCTTTTCTTTGTAAACAATGCGAATTAGGGAAAGATACTTTATAACATTCTGACAGTCCCCAATATTCATCTGTAAAAATAAGAGATTTACTCGGATCAGATGCATCTACTGACCAATCCCAGTAAGGAATGTATATTTCTGGATCTTTTGTAAGCATTTGTAAGATTGATTCTACATGAAGAAGAAGCATTCTGTGCCATGGAAGAAATCTACCATTTTTATGGGCATAATTATCTACATCCACATGAATTTTAGCAATGTCCGCTAAATACCCTTTTTCATTAAATAAGTTAAATGCATTTTTGTATTTAATCCACTCATTTTTTGTCATGTCTCGTATTTCCTTTCTTATGACAAATTTACTTAAAATTAGTGGTATAAATATCATCATGCATTTATGCTAAGTATTTTTTTTAACCCATGAATATTTTTGAAAAATTTAATCCACCTATTGATTACCATGGACAAGAATTATCAATGAAGCTTTTTTATGTATTAATATACATTGGATATTTCTTTTCATTAATAACTGGTATATTGTACAATGATTTAAAATATACTTTATTATTAGGAATATTTACTGTATGCATTGTTTTCTTTATTTGTGTGCCATCTTGGAGATTTTATAGAAAAAATCCATTAAAGTTTGAAAAGAAGAATAATTAAATTTATAAGATTAATTTTTTAGTATTTATGAGGATAGTTTTTTTGTTGTTTAAAATGTAAAAATTGACATTAATTTTTATAATGTTTATCTTATTTTTTAAATGTATTTATAAATTACCGCTTTTTTAAAAGTGTATTTATTTTTTAAAGTGTATTAATAAACTACATATTTTTAAAATTTTCAAATTATCTATTTTTTTAAGGTTAATTTATAAATTACACATTTTTAAAATGCTTTATTTATTTTTTAAAATGTATTTATAAATATCCGCATTTATAAAATGTATTCATAAATTTTTTAAAATGTATTAGTAAATTTTTTAAGATTAATTTAAAACTTATTAAATTCTTGTATTTTGCATGATCTATGAAAAATCCTGTACTAAATCTAGAATCTTTTTTAAATAATAATGATTCTTTGTTAATATTTGATTCTGATGAGTTAACTCTTGTCGATCACCCTTTTCATTTTGATGAATATAAAATTACTTCTGAAATTGTACAAACAAAAAGTATTGAAAAAGCTGATTCTTATAAACCACACAAGACCAGAGGCATAAAAGAAAATAAAGAAGGGTATTGTTTGCCATGCGATAAATGGTTTAAGTTAAAGAACAGTAGTTATTGGTACCATATGAACTTTAAGCATGGCATAAATTCAAAAGGTATAAAATATCCTGAACCAGAAATAAGAAGAAATAATGGTAAATTAGAAGGGTTCTGTGAGGCTTGTGATGGTTGGATTACAGTGGGATATAAATTTGGAGATAAAAATTATAAATTTGGGTGGTATAGACATTGCCAAAAAGAACATAGATTTGTACAATAAAATACAAGTAAGGTTTATTTAAACTTATTAATAAAATCTTCTATTTCTTCAATTTCTATAAATTTATGATCTTTTAAAGCATTTTGAATATCTTCACTCTGTAAATTTTCATTTATTGTAAATTTTTCAAAATTACAAGTGCTTTTCATGGGAGAATATTTTTTACTTTTTATTAAATTATAAGAAAATATTAAATAACAATAATTGTGTAATAAATTACTTCTTATAAATTTTTGCAAGTGTTATCTTACAACAATTTCTTATTTTTAATAAATAATCAATACACTTAATATTTAAATGTATTGTAAAGATCACTTTTTCTGAGAATCAAAATACAATAAATTGTGCTCTGTAACATAAATAAGATTGTAAATTTAGACAGTTTTTTCATTTATCAGTAAACAACTACAAAATAAATAAAAATAATTATTTATGCTAATATTAAACAATAATTACATAGATAAATTAACTACTATACCATTATAAAATAAAATATTACTTTTAAATTACATAATTTATATACGTACATATTATAATCTTTATTAAACAGCTTGACAGTTTAAATTGATCTATTTTTAGATTTCTTCTTATTCAATTAATAAGCTGTTATGTACATTTGAAGTTTGTTTTTTTGTAATTTTAGACAAATAAGCAATCTATTACTTGTATCTCATTTTTATGCATTTATGATTTTTTTTATTTATTTATTTTTTTTGCATAAATAGCAGAAATAAAATATTTTTTTTTAATCCTTAAATGACAGAAATAAAAATTGATTCTTTAAAATTTTCGAGAAGAGTCCAAAAAATTAGAAAATTGTTACCGCATCCTTTACTTATAATATTAGGAAGTCGTTTAGATCTAGAACAAGCCAATTTAAACTCTGCTTTAAGTACTTATCTCATTGGATATGAATTTCCTAACACTCTTATTTTGATTGATTCTGTTTGTAAAATTTACAGTCATAAAAAAAGACTTGATTTATTAAGGAATCTAGAAAATGTAAAGACAATTGTTATTGAAAAAGATTTAAGTAATTTACAATTTGTTATAGAAAGTTTATCAACCGTACAAAATCTTTGTGTTGTAGATCAAAATAAAACAGAAGGTATTTTAAGTAAAACAATCTATAATAATTTAATGTGTGCTGATGTATCAAGAGAAATACAAAGAATGTTTTTATACAAAGATGAAGATGAGTTAATAAATTGTAAAAAGGCGGGAATTGTTATTGAACACGTCATTAAGCACTGTACGGAGTTAATAAAAGATAATGCATTAGAAGAAGATAAATTAGAAGAAATATTTGATATGCCTATTGATGGAATAGATAATGAAAATATAGAACATAGCTTTCAGCCAGAAATTTCTAATTATAGTTTTAGAATTGGAATTAGATATAACGGATACTGTGCAGAAGGTGGTAGAACGGTTTATAGTGATCTTAATGTTTTTTATAATGCTCAGAAATTTATATTAGGACTTATTCGACCTGGTGATAATTCAAAAATTGTGCACGAAAAAGTATCGGAATATTTGAAAAAAAATGATTTTGTGATCGATGATAATTTTTTGTATACGACAGGACTTCTTAATGAGGAAGTTAACTTTAAAAATGAATTTAGGATTTTAAATGGATTAGTTTTTGTTCTTAAACTTACTAATGGTTCATCAATATTAAGTAATACGTTTTATCTTGACGAAGTTCCTATTTTTTTAACTCCGAATGACAAATTCGAAGATTTTCTTGATAATAGACCTAGATTTAGAGATAAATCTAGAGAATTTGAATTGGATTTGAGGCGTAAAGAGCATCAAAAAGAATTACTTGAAAATCTTATCGATGAGAGATTAAATTATCATAAAAATAAAAATAATGTATCTGAAACAGATGAAATAATAAAAACAACAAGACCTTATGAAAAAGAATCTTTAATTCCTAGAAAAGGTAAAATTTTTGTAGATTCTAAAAATTATGCTTTATGTATACCTGTAAGTAGTTTTATATTACCTATACATATTTGTAATATTAAGAACGTGGTGCTTGTTGATGAAACGATGTTAAAATTCAATTTTGAATTTTTAAATAATAAAAATACTAAATTTTTATCGAGCATTAAAAGTATTAATATTGTAGATAAAGGAGGTAGACAAATTTATGATGAAATACAAGAATTAAAAGCTAGATATTCTGTATCTTCAGATAAAGACATTGTGGCACAAGATAAACTTATTGAGAAAAGTAATAAAATCGGTTTAGTAGACATTTTTATGAGAACGGATATTAAGACTGCTGTTAAAAAGAGGAAAACATCAACACTTGAGTTACATGAAAATGGATTTAGATTTGTTGAAGACAAATTAGATATTTTATTTGGAAATATTAAATATATCTTTTTTATAAAAGGAGATGTGCAGAATAAAACTATTTTACACTTCCACTTGCAAAATCCAATAATAGTTAATTTAAAGAAAACAAAGAATGTACAAATTTATCAAGAGGCAAGTTCTAATCTCACAGTCAACACTCATAAAAGAGGTGATGAACATATGGAATATATTATTGAAAAAGAAGAACTTGATAAACAGAAAAGACTAAATTACATGTTTGAGACTTTTGTATCTAAAATTGAAAGTGAAACTTCTTTAAAGGTTCAAAGACCAAGAGAAGGTTTTACTGGTGTTCCATTTAAAGAATCTGTTTTTATCCAAAAAACTCATGAATGTCTTGTTGCGCTACACGAGCAACCATTTTTTGTTTTATCACTTGATGACATTGAAGTTGTTAATTTTGAAAGGGTAGTCTACAATGTTAAAACATATGATGTGGTTTTTATACTTAAAGATTATTCTATATCTAAAATATTATCTATTGAATCTTCTTATATGTCTAAGTTTAAAGACTATCTTGATTCTAATAATATTGTTTACATGGAAACTATTTTTAATATTCAGTGGAAAAATGTTCTTAAAAAGATTCAAGAAGATCCGATAGCTTTTTATGCAAGTGGTGGCTGGACGGAACTTTTGGTAGAAGATAATGAAAGTGAAGAAGCAGTTAGTGAGGAAGAAGAAGAGGAACCAGAAAGTTCTAGTGACCACGAATCAGAAGAAGATTCTGGTTTTTCTACAGTAAGTAGCAGTTTTACTGAAGAAGAAGATAGTAGTTATAGTGAAGAAGAAGAAGAAAGTGATGAAGATACTGAAAGTAGTAATGATAGAAGGAAAAAAAGAAGAAGGTAAATTAAAATTTTTATTATAAAATTTATATATTATTTTTTCTAAAGTATTAAATTTAGTGATGGAAAAAAAAATGTATTTTTTAATAAGCCTTGATTATAAAAAAAATTCAATTGTTAAATAAGCCTTGATTATAAAAAATGATAAGTGTAAAATCTTTATTTTTTTAAAATAAATAATTGCATTAAAATAATAATTGGTTTAAATTATTTTTGTATTACAGTCAGGAGACGTTTTAGAATAAAAAGATTTATTTGAATTTTTCTTTGGCATTCTTGCTGGAATTTTACGCAATTAATTTTTGATACATGTTTTAAATTTTCAAACATTATCATGTTTCAGCGTTAAAGCCTTGATTGGTTTCACATCGACTTTAAAATTTTTGCAATAAAACGTGATAATCATAAACGATAGGTATTAAAAAACTTTTATTGTTTTTTTAAATTAATAATTAATTAAATTAATTTTGATCTTTTCTTTTCTCTAAATTAATATTACTTCTAGTAGTAAATTGAAGTGCTACACTACCTATAATATACCATCCAAATGTATATAACCACACAAGAAGTATACACCACCACATTCCTATTATTTTCGTATTGTTCATATAAATATACTCTTCTCCTGGTATATTTTGTGACCCACTATAAAATGTAACATCTCTAAATTGATTTTGTATTAAAGCGGTGTATGCATAATATATTGGCGATATAAAGATTATCCATCTCAGCCATGCTGGTATAACATTAGTACTGCCAAAAGCACCACTATATACTGTAAACAGTAATATAAATGTCGATCCAATAATTTGCGCAATGTTTTGTGATGGTGATATTGTACTTATTGCTAATCCAAAAACCAATGAAAAATTAATTAATGATGCATAAATAATTAAACAAATAAAAAAACGGCCCGCATTCGGATTTAACCCTATAATCCAATATAAAGCAACTAAATATGTTAATTCATACACCATATTAAAAGGAATTTCTGAAACATATTTAGACAAAAATGCTGTGTAACCCGAATACATTCCTGAACGCCTTTCGCGGACTATAATACGTTTTTCTTGTGGAAAAACATTAAAAATCGGGGCACAAACACCAAATAATCCATTAAGCACTAGAAATGTAAGAGATCCTTTTCTACTGTTCACTTCATCCTCAGAATATCCCATTCTTAGATATGCTAAGCCAAAAATCAATAAAAAAATTATTTTTTGTAAAATTTTTACAGCCAAAAATGATGTCTTTCTCCAATATTCAATAATATTTCTTCTAAGTAAAACTGGAAATAATACACTACTACCAGTTACACCATAAGAATTGACAGGATTATCTAAACGAGGAGTGTGTTGTATTTTTTTTTCCATCCACATTTCGTTTATATAATTAATTTTGTTGTAACAATCTGCCATAGATTTATCATTTCGCGTATCTAATGATATAACATCTAAAAAGAAGTCGGTGGGATTTGTGTTCGGTGGAAGATTGTATCCGCATTCTTGAAAAAAATCATTACATTGATCAAATGGTCCTTCAAAAATCATCTTACCTTGCGATAAAAGTATAACACGAGAAAAATACTTAATTTGCATGTAGGAAGGCTGGTGTATTGTCACTAAAATAGTTTTTCCTAAATTTGTTAATTTTAAAAGTAGTTCTAATATATTAATGGCATTAAATGAATCAAGGCCACTGGTTGGTTCATCTAAAAATATAATTGGTGGATTACCGAGTAACTCTACACCGATAGATAATCTTTTTCTTTCTCCTCCACTTAATTTACACACAAGACTGTCTTTTAACTTCACCAACCCTAAAATATTCATAATATCTTCTACAGACGATTTGGCGCCTTTAACTTTATTACAAAAATCGAGCGTTTCGTAAACAGTTTGATTTTCGTAGCCATAAAATTCTTGTTCGACGTAGCCCATTATTTTCGACCATTCGTTATTGTCTCGCGGCCTGCTATTTAATAGTATTTCCCCAGTGAGGTTCATACTATTCGGCAGTCTTCCAGCTAGAGCGTTTAGTAATGTTGTTTTTCCAGCACCGCTTGGTCCCATTAAGGCAGTCATTGAGGATGGACCGACTGTTCCCGATATATTTTGCAGTAATGATTTATTTGATGGCGTTTTTAAGTTTAAATCTTTCCATATTAGTTCATTTTCGGAAGTTTTGAAATCCATAAGGGTTAATAACGTTTAAGTTGTTTTGTTTGTATTGTGTTGACTTGTAAAATTATAATAGTTTAATATCTTTATCATGTAATGATTTTTAAAACCAGTAGCTTTATTATAAGATTAACTTGTAAAAGAATGCACGCCCAATAAACATTTGATTTTTTTAACATTTTTAATAAATTATATATGAATATTGTTAAATGTTTTGATAAGTTTATTACCATTAAATCTGCAAAATAAAATAATTTTTTATTGTTCTTCATTATTTAAATGGAGCAAAGAAGGATCTACAGTTACTGTTTTTATGCTAGTTCCTCGAACAAAACATTCTTTAAAAAATATTCCTTGGCCTTCGTTATCTTCAATATTCATATTAATAACATGTAAATTCATAAGTAAATCACACTTCTTAAGAAATCCTCTTCCTTTAGATCCATTTTTTAGTTCAAAGTTTATAAACTTATTCTTACTTAATCTCACAAGTGTCAGGGGATACATTAGGGTTTATTTATCTGCTATATAAATATAATCAACCACACTACCCCTAACAAACATAGATTTAAAATTAAAAGTAAAACTTTCATCATTATATTTACCATTTATTAAAAATATATTTAAGTAGCCATCCACTGAAATCAGTGTACCTGTAAGTGTAGTATCATCATATTGTTTAATAACAATTTGTTTATCAATAAAATCTGCGTAAACGTTGTATACATTTTCCATAGAAGGGTAGTGTAAACAAAAATTTTATCATCACATAAAAAAATTTATGTGTAAAGTGTTTATAGTAAAGAAGCAGTGAATGTGGAGACTGCAGTAAATATAGATATTAAAGTAAGATGCTGAAAATAAACTTGTTAAAATGAAGGTTTAAGAAATTTTAAATCAAAATTATTTATTTTATTGTTATTTGTTTGCATGAATAATACTTTTATGCATGTCGAAATCTATTGATAGTTTTTATAATTAATTTGATATAAAAAACAATTTATATTTTTGATAAATAAATTCATGGTTAGTTCCAACAGTATTAGATATTAATTTTATTTAAAATAAGAAATTGATGTCTTTTCTTTCTTCTATAAAATATAATTTTATGTTTTTATAGATGCTTGCTAGATAATTTTTGATTGTTGCTTTATTTAAAACACAAAAAAATTTAATATTTATAATTTAATTGCTAAAACAAATAATATATATTTTTTATTCACTTTCAATATTAATAAATGTATGCGCAAAATTTGTATCTGTTTCATCTTCATCACTGTCATCTATAATTCTATCACTCTTCCAATTATCACTAATATTTTTAAATTTCTCAAAAGCTTTTTTCTCAGTACAAATTAAACATAAATATTTTTTAGGAAGACCATATCTACAAAAACATTCAATATAAAGCTTTACTAACTTTAAATGAATAAAAATTTTGTATAGTTCTAACGAATGAGTGTCAATAAATAATTCTAAATTGTCTTCGCAGGTTATAAAACTTAAATTATTATTTTTTTCTTTAATGTAAAAGCCATTTGCTGAACATTCCTTTTTAAAATTTTTAACATTATTTTTTAGAATAAGAATTCTATATAAAAAATATTTTTCATCTTCATCAATTTGATCAATAACTTCATCAGATGCATTTTCGCATTTTTTTATAAAATCTAAAAAATTTACTCCTTCTTTATCAACCACAACAAAAACTTCTTCTAAAAATTCATAAGATCCACATTCAATGTTCAAATCTTTTTCAAGTAAATTGCCCTGTGTGCGTTTTTTTATAGTCTCGCTCTCCTTTTTAAATTTTAAATGATCATCTCGCTTTTTTGTATATAACATTTTAAGATGAGATAAGTCATCAAGAATCATGTTAAAACATTCCTTCATGTCTAAACTTCCATATTTATTTCCGTCCCATTGTATAAGACAATTAAAACAAATTTCTTTAATTCTTCTAAAACCTTTAATTAAATCTATACAATCTTTTTCTGCTTTATACAAAGTATCATCATATGAACTACATTCGGAAATACAGAAATTTGTGAAATTAGGTAAATCTATTGTTTCTACAAGGATACCATATTCATCTTTTATTTTACATATTTCTTCGTTAACATCAATATTATCTTCTAGAGGAAGACCTACTAGCAACATATGGGCTAAAAAAAAATTATGTTTATCCCTAGCGATGCATCAAATAAATCAACACAATAATGAACAAGCTGTTAAAAAAGAAGACATTCTTAAATGGATACCTAAAACAAATAGTTCTTTTAAGCTTATAGAATCTTTGTTATCAACACCAACAAACTTGCAAGAAATACTTAATTATAACCCAATTATTATCAGTGTATTGGTAGACCAACCATACAAAAGAGAGTTATTGACTATTATTTACAAATTACTTTTTATTGTACATTTTACATCATCACATTTTAAAATATTAAGAACAAATATTAATTTAGTGAGTGACGAAGAATATTTTATTAAGATTGGTTTTTTTATTAAACCGCCAAATTTTCTAAAAAAACTTAGTAAAAGCACTTTGGATTTTTTGACAATAGAAGAAATTTATAAATTTAAAGAGTTTATTTATTTAGCAAAAAATAATGCAATTTTTTATAAAAAAATTTATGTGCATAAACTTTTTAAAAATGAAAGATTGAGAATTTTACAACTTGTTAAAGATAAAAATGAAATTGTTAGTTTAAAAAATTATACTTTAGAACAAGCTGATTATTTATATAGTATTAGAAAAGAACTAAGTACTAAAAATATTCTACAAATTGTTGAGTACAAAATAAAGAAAGGAATAATAAGTAAATATAAATACAAAATGCGATATTTATTAATTGTATTTAAAAAATTAGAAGAAAAATATTTTAATCCTAAAATTTCTAAGGAAAATATAAGTAAAAATTTGCCATATAAATTTAAAAATAAGAATGTACAAGAATGGATACGATATTTTATCATAAAAACTAAAAGATATGAAGTAGATACACAATATTTTACAGTCTTAAAAGGAAACGAAATTTTGAGAAAATATTTTTTGTATCAAGTTAAAGATGAAATAGATAGTTTTATTGTAGAAAATATCGAAAACATAGAAAATCTAACATATATTTTAGATTTTATTAGATACACTAAACGCTTTGAATATTTACTAAAACTTCTTAGGGGAACAGAATGTGAGAATATTAAATCTTTAATAAAAGAAATTGATATAGTTAATGAAGAAATTGCAAAGGAAGCCTGTAAAATCACAGAAAATAAGAAACTTATTTTATACATAATTAGATGTCAGTATGATGTTCTAGAAGAACTTTATAATAATGACTTATTTTTACAATTTATAAATAGTTTTGATGCTAATATACTTGTTAAACATACTGATTTAATTTTTGTGAGAAAAGATGTTTACGAAAATGAAAAAATATTTAAAGAACTTATAAATAAGTTGCATAAAAAACTGCCTGAAAAAGATAGGGTTTTTTTGTATATACTTAAATACATGAACAACAATTATCAAGACTATTTGTATGACATTTGTCCCCTTTTTTTTGATGATACAAAGTATATGTCCTTTTATGTGCATATATGTCTTAAATATAATAAAATACCATATGGAATTATGAAATATAAAATAAACAGAGACAAGATAATGTTAAATTTTATTTATGATAAAAAGTTATTTCTTGAATATATAAAATACGAGATTAATCCAAAAGTTCTATTTAAAATTTTAAATAAATTACAGAATAAAAAAAATACAACTTCACTTGTACCTGAAGATGTTTACAGAGTATTAATAGATCTAAATCTTGATAATAAAAAGCTTATTAATATTTTAAAAGGTAAACTTAAAGGTTTAAAATATTTAATAGACACCGGCGAAATATCTTGTCTTCTAAATTTACTGATAGAATATAAAAATAAAAAAATTATTAAAGGTATTCTTAGAGAAATAATTGAATGTATTGAACTTGATAAACATCTAAATTTTATAATAAAAGATCTTCTTCTTATTTCGTTAGATTAATACGTGTAATAAAAGTTTGATTTATTATAGCTTTAGATTTATTTTTTTATCATCTTTTAAAGTATCATTTATTAATTTATATTATTAAAAAAATAAATTTATTTCTAATTGTTTACACTACATCAATTAAATTTTTAACAAAGATTAAGTTTAATTGACAGTTGTATAATGACACAATAATTTAGTACAAATACATTAATACAATTTTAATAATTTAATTTATGCATAATTGACCATCATCAGTAATAAACACATTACCTTTCTTTTCTACCACACATTTTTGATATATTTCATTAACTACATCCCAATCAATTACATTCCACCATTCATTAATGTATTCTTTTCTCCTATTTTTATACTGTAAATAATACGCATGTTCCCATACATCAAGACATAGTAAAGGAATACATTCACCATCCTCCATCATAGGATTATCTTGATTAACACTGGTCTTAATACACAATTTATCTTTATATATCAACCACACCCATCCTGATCCAAATAATTTTACAGCTTCAGTATTAAAATTCTCCTTAAATTTATTTATTGATTCAAAGTCTTTTATTATAGCACTTTCTAACTGGGAAGAAATCTTTTTATTTTCTGGTGACATTACCAACCAGAAAAGACTATGGTTGTAATGACCACCACCATAATCTCTTAATTGTTTATCAACAAGTGCATTTCCTTTATTATTAAAAAGTAATGAATTTAATGATTTACCACACAAATTGTTATCTAATATTATTTTATTAAGAGTGTCTACATACGCTTGATGGTGCTTAGAGTGGTGGGTCTCCATTATATCTTCACTTATATAAGGCTCTAGAGATTTATAACTATATTTCAGATTTGGAAGAGTGAACATTAAGGGCAAAAAAAGAAAACAATTTATAACTTGAAAATATTTACTAATTTGTATTGTTATTTACATTTTGTAAAAAAGTAGAAAAAAACTTACAAAATGATAAATTAATTTACATTTAATAATTTTTATTAAGAAAAGCGGTTTAAAGGATTTAAATGAGATACTTTAATACATTATTTTACAATTAAATGTTTATTCACTGGGTTATTTAATTGTAATATATTAATCTTATCAAATAAAAAGAAATCTTATTAATTGTATTAAAAAGAAAAAAGTTTTACTGATTGTATTAAAGGTTGAAGTTTTACATATTTATTTTTTATACACTCACGGTTTTTTCTAACATTTAAACTTTTAAATATTACAAGAAAAATAAAAATACAATAAATAAGGTAGAAAATTATTTAATTAAAATTTTTTATAAAGGAGTTACACAAAATTATGGCCTTTTAAATAAGAAAATTTGTAAAAAAGATTTACTTATTTGGGTGAATAAATAAATTAAATGTCATTATATTCTACAAAACAAATTTGTGTAAGGATTAAATTTATATATTTCTATATTTAAGATATATATTGTGTCATCTGAGAAAAGTATTTTATTTACAATTAAGTGTTGTATAGAGAGAACATAAAATCATTTTTATTTATTTTTTCATTGCACACAACCTTAACTTAAAATTACTTTATCTCCTTCCACATTTACAATTTAAAAAGATTTAAAAATGTTGACTTAAGATAACTATATAAATAATAATTTAAAACAAAAAAGCCAGTAAAAATCTATTTTTAAAGATACATACTGTTTATAATAGAATTTATTTTAGAAAGAAATTGAAAGCATCTATTAAATAAATTTCTTACAGAATAGGAAATAAATTTTGGTACATAAAATTACGTTAATATTTATTAAAAATAGCATTTAAATTTTTAAATATTTTATAAATTGTTTTCTTTTAAAAAAGTTTTTTCTTGAAAAAATGAATTTTCTAGAATTTTTTTTTCTATAAATAAATTTTTTTTATAACCCTGCATAAATGAGTGAGCAATCTAAAACTTCAAATGCAATTGGTATTGATTTAGGTACAACATATTCATGTGTAGGTGCTTACATGAATGGTAAAGTTGAAATTATCACAAATCCAGATGGTGATAGAACAACTCCTTCTATTGTGGCTTTCGGTGAGTCTGGAAATATTATCGTCGGTTCTGCTGCAAAGAGTATGTACACAAGTGATCCTGCCTCAGTTATTTTTGATGCTAAAAGAATGATAGGAAGAGGATTTGATGATGATAATATTAAGACTTGTATTTCAAAGTGGCCTTTTACGGTTGTTAGATATAATTTCCAAACTAAAAAGGAAGAAGCTGCTCCTGTTCCTGGATCGCAAAAAGTAATTGATAATATTGCTATTAAAATCGAAAAAAATGGCAAGACAGATTATTATGCTCCTATTGAAATTTCATCAAGGGTACTTACATACATGAAAAAGGCTGCAGAAACTAGGCTTGGAACTAAGGTTGATTCTGTTGTTGTAACTGTTCCTGCTTATTTTGAAGAACCTCAGAGAGAGAGAACTAAAGAAGCTGCAATTATTGCTGGATTCAAACCTGATAATATTAGATTACTTGCTGAACCTACTGCTGCTGCTATGGCTTATGGTCATAAAAAGACTGAAGAAAATCAAAATATTGAAACTAAAGAAGATATACTTGTATTCGATCTTGGTGGTGGTACATTTGATGTATCTGTACTTGATTTTGAATTTAGTACAAAGAACGGATCTGTGGGTGTTGTAAAGGCTACTGATGGTAATACTTTCTTAGGAGGTGTAGATTTTGATAATTTATTAATTCAATATGCACTTGATGAATTTAAAAAGAAAAATGGGCTTAGTCCACAAGAAGAGTTTAAACAGAATTCAGTTCTTAGACTAAGGGCTGAGGTTACAAGAGTTAAAGCTTTGTTAAGTTCTACCGATAATTCTCAGATTTATGTTCCTTGCTTCCATGGAACTGTTGACTTAAATATTCCAATTACCCGTGCAAGGTTTGAATTTTTATGTGATCCATTATTTAAGAATTGCTTAGAGAGAGTAAAGGGATGCCTTCTTTTGTCTGAAGATATTAAAGGAGTGAATTATTCTAAAGATGGCACTAAATTATTACTTACACCTGATTTAGAAGCAAAACTTAATCAAATAAAGAGTAAGATTTCAAAGGTCATTCCAGTAGGAGGATCATCAAGAATTCCAAAGATTAAGAAAATGTTAGGAGATTACTTTGGACCAGCTAAGGTTGTTGAATCATTAAATCCTGATGAAGCTGTAGCTTACGGTGCAGCATATCAAGCTGCTTCTGTATTCTCTGATGTTATGGGTGAATCAAGTGGATTACTTCTTATTGATTGTTGTCCTTTAGATTTGAGTATTGAAACAGCAGGAGGTGTTGCAACTGTTCTTATTCCTAGAAATAGTTCTATTCCAGTTAAAAAGACCGAAACATTTACAACTTATGCAGATAATCAAACAGCTGTAACAATTAATGTTTATGAAGGTAACAGAGCTTTAGCTAAGGAAAATAATTTGATTGGATCATTTAATTTAGATGGAATTATTCCAGCTCCCAGAGGGGTACCAAAGATTGAAGTCACCTTTGATGTTGATAATAATGGTGTGTTGAATATTACTGCTGAGGATAAGCAAACTAGTAAACAGTCGTCTTTAACAGTTTCTAACACTCAAAGTAGATTAACTGATGAACAAATTCAAAAAATGAAAGAAGCTGCAGCTGAACATGAAAAAGCGGATGAAGATGTTAAAAGGCTTATTACAAAGAAAAACGGATTTGAATCAATTTTACATTCCTTTAAAAGTGCAGTAGAACAACATCAACAGTTACCACAAGAAAAGAAAGATGAGATTATTGCTAGAATTAAGCCTTACGAAGATTGGGTATATGGAATTGATGGAACTAAATTTGATGAGAGTGAAATGGATCAAAAGGATCAGGAACTTAAAGACATAATGAAAGAAGTAATGCCAACCGGGCAGGCTCCACCACCAGGTGCTTAAATAAATTATTAGTTTTATTTTTTTTTAATTTTTATTTGTAAGAAATGTTTGCAATAAAACACATCAATATTTTTTTGGTGTTTAACTTTATATTCTTAGTTATACAAAAATGAAGGATTTTGGTAAGCAAAATAAGGGCGAGCAGAGAAGTGTTGTTCTATACACTTACTTAAGGTAAGAGATAGTCTTTAAAAAGGCCGACAAATTCTGTAATGAAGGGTTATGGTAAAACAAACGAGAGCAAGCAGAGAAGTCTGCAAAGTGAGTACTTTGATACTCTTTGACCTGGGGGAGGTCAGGCATGATACTGTTGCTGTATCGCCCCGCTGAACTGAGTTGTGTTCTTAAATGGTGTATTGAGCCA